GCGGCGGGGGCGGTCCTCCTGGGGCCTTCATCGCTGGAGCTGGCGGCGGGGGCGGTCCACCGGGCGCGGGCGGAGGCGGCGGGCCGCCGCCGGCCTTGACTGCGGGCGGGGCGGCGGGGGCGGGCCACCACCTCCGGGCGCTGGTGGCGGGGGCGGTCCACCGGGCGCGGGTGGAGGCGGCGGGCCGCCGCCGGCCTTGACTGCGGGCGGTGGCGGCGGGGGCGGGCCACCACCACCCATCATCGGGGGTGGCGGCGGGTCGTGTGGAGATCGAGCTGGCGGCGTCGGCGGCATCGGCGATCGCGGCGGCGGCGTGGGCGGCACGCCGTTGTCCGACAGCGGCGGCGGCGGCACAAACGCCAGCGGCGGAGGGATCAGGCCCTGCATCGGCGGCGGCGGAATGTTCATGCCAAAGTCCATGGGCGGCGGCGGGAGGTCCATTGGCAGTGGCGCGCCGAAGAAGCTCGAGCCGCTGAACATCGGGGGCGGCTCGTCGGGCATCAGGAAGCCGCCCGAGCCGCTGTTCGAGGGCCAGTCCACGGGTGGCGGGGGCAGGTTGAGCGGCCCGTCGGAGAAGCTGCCGAGTGCTCGGGCGGCGTGCGGGGGCAGCGAGGTGCCTCCGGAGAGGGGCTGGGGGATGAGCGGGGCGCCAGTGACGGATGGGGAGTAGAGGGGCGTCTGGGGCAGCTGGACGTTGCCGCTGGAGCCCAAGTCGCCCACGGGCCGGCCGCCGTAGGGCAGCACCGAGTTGTAGGACACCTGGTTTGGCGACACGTACGTGCTGTTGGGGCTGGGTATCATGGACCCGCTGCCGCTCCCTCTTGGCGCTAGCGAGCTCTTTCTGTAGAGCGCAGAGTTAGAAGAAGAAAAGCAAAGGAGGAAGAAGATGACCTTGTAGAGATTGGGGGGGGGTAAGAAATACATACCGAGATGGCGCTGCCTCTGCGTCCTGCTGAACCCACGGTTTTCCTCCTCTCCTTCTCCGCCCTCTTGGCCTCCTTCTCCTTCTCCTTGGCCTCCTTCTTCAACCGCTTCTTCTCCTCTTTCTCCCGCTTCTTGGCCTCGGCGGCCTGCTTCTTGGCCTCCTTCTTGCTAAGCTCCTTCCCGTTGTTGTTGAAGTTCCCCACATCGACCCCGCCGTTCGTGAACGACGTTGTGGTGGCGATGGGGGAGTAGGGCGCTGCAGGGAACGACGGTCCAGCCGACAGGGAGAGCGAGGGGGGATTGTCTCTGGGTTGTGTTCCTCGAGGAGAGGGGGTTGTGGCCTGCATGGCCTGCGCGAGCTGAGTAGGGTCGATCCTGGTGTTGCTGTTATCGGTGGAGCTGGGTCGCCACGGGCTGTTGGGGGAGGTCATCGAGGGGGGTCTAGTGGACACCTGATTGAAGAGGTCGGAGGCCGAGGTGATGGTTCGCCGCGCCCCCGGCGGAGGCCGCGTGCGAGGGGGCTGCCCTGGAGCAGCCATGACGGGCACCGATGATGTGTATTCTTGCTATTCTGATTATTGAGGTGATTATCGCAGTTTCGTTCACACGACGATGTGGCGCAGGCAGAAGAGCAGCTCTGTTGATGAATGACGTTTAGGGAGCCGCGAGTTCACCACCCCGCTCGTGAAGGGACTCTGGCTTGTTTCGCCGCAGACGGAGACGCGAGGCTGCTGCCAAACCCGGATATGAGTGAGCTTTACCATCTCCCATCGGCCACGCGGCGGTGGTGTGTTTTCGCGGGATGTTGTCAGGGTACGGCTGTTTCAAACCCAGGCTCGTAGCAACTACAGTTAACTCGATCAGCGAGGCCTGTGATGCCTTCTCCCCCCAACAGCTTCAACTTCATCGAGCTCCCGCCGCTCGTGCATCAACGACTCATGTTGGACGTCTGCTGTCTGCCCCCACCAAGGGCCTTGTTGAACGGCGGGGCGCGGAAACCTTAATGTGGGCTCTCCCTTTTATGGAAGGTACTTTGAAAAACAGAAACACGCGCGAGCTGGGCGTGAAGGGTCACCAACGGCCGGTCGCAGTTGGTGCACGCCTGTGGACGATGAGTGTGTCCTTGGTGAGGTGACCTGGTCCAGCAGCAAAGGAAAGGGCCGCGAGGCCAGCCACGACAACGTCTCCTTGAGGATAGCGCCAACATACACACGCAGAAGAACTGGAAGACAAGGCAAAGGAAGAAGAGACTCCAAGTGATTACTAAGGGTCAACGATATTATTGCCGTATTCCAAGCCAGACAACACACAGAAACGAGTCGCATCGCGGAGGAGTGATTGGCAGAGAGGAAGGAGATGGGGCGCATTTTGATCTATACGCTGGCGGGCGACAGCGCCTGTGCCAGGGCGAAGGAGTTGCTGGTTCAGAAGCAGCGAACGACGGGAACCGCCCTCGTGGAGATTAATCTCACAGACTACCCCAAGCGATCCAGGGAGATGAAGCGACTGACTGGCAAGCGCAGCGTACCGCAAATCTTCTTCAATTCGCTGCACGTTGGGGTACGCGACGCTGCTCCTTTTTTCCCGCCATTTCTTTGATCTCTCACCGCCGTAGTGCGATTTGTGCATTGCAGGGGGCAGCCGAGCTGCAGGCTCTGGAGAAGTCGAACAAGCTCGACGAGATGCTCGAGAAAGGTGCCACAAAGCCCAGTCCCCTCTTCTTCCAGTGTTCGATTTTCTCACCTCAAGGCGCCTGGTCAACGCGCAGTTGCAAAGGAGGAGGCACCACCCACACCTCTGCCCCCAAGCGACAAGGACAAGCTCGTGGCCAAAGCACTGATAAAGACGGTCAGTGGCGGAAGCCCTGCCAAGAGGAGGGGCACGGGCACGGGCAAGGAGTCTACCGAGGTGGTGCCCCTGGCGGTGTCAGGCGGCAGTGGGTCGAACGATGAACCGTTGGCGGGCGCTGGCACTGGCTCGCCATCGAGCTCGTCCGTGCTCTCGACATCGTCATCGCCGGCCACCGACGCGGTACAGTCCGATCGATCAGAAGACGACTTGTCCGATGACGAGATCACAGGAGAGGGTGAAGAAGTTCTTCACGGTTCACACTACTTGGAAGCACCCGACGAAGCAGAGATTGAAGAGGTGCGTGCTGTCGTTATTTGTTATTTCACTCCTTTGGACTTTGGACTGATCATCAACACTGACCTATGGCCGTCGGCTTGCCACCTGTTAGATGGATGCTCTGTTCGATCAACTGCGGCAGGGAGATGCGGGGCTGAAGCGAAGAGACATCGGGTCGTTCAACAAGGTCAAGGACTGCTTCAGGGCGTTTGAAGTGGTGATGTGGCTTATGACGCGACTGGGAATCGAAGAAGAGGTACACTGGATCGGTCCGATGCAGCTTGCAGCTGGCTTGTTGATCAGTCGTGCTGACCACCCGCTCGCTTTGCCTCCTGTGACTACTACCAATCTAGGTGGCGGTTCGTGTGGGCCAGCAATTACTGCGGCTGGGGTACATCTATCGGGCGAGGGATGGAGGCGATGAGCCCTTCGCCAACTCCACGGACATCTTCAAGTTTGCGGTCGACGACGATCCCAACGTGCTCAACATGCGCCGCAGATGGAAGCACCGGCCCCGCCCTCCGCTCGAGGTGGCGCAGGCGCTCGAGGACCGGTTGCGCACCCTCCTTGACGCCTATGTGTCGCCCGACGGCCGATTGGTGGACTACCCAGGGTGAGATCCCTGCTTTTCAGCATCGATGAGTCTTCATGTACTGATCAAGTGCTTCGTCATGCACGACACATAGGCTCGCCATGTCGGTGGACTTTCACAATTACACCAACACGGTGCTCGAACTGCAGACGCTGGACCTGAGCGGTGTCAGCGAGCCGCAGCTCAAGGCCTTCTTCATTAACATCTACAATGGCATTGCCCTGCACGGGCTCGCTGTTTTGGGTTCGCCCTCGACGCCCGGCGAAAGAGCGGCCTTCTTCGATGAGCTGGCCTACATCGTAGCCGGCCAGCGCTACTCTCTCTACGACATCAAGCATGGAATACTCAGGTGCGTCAACTCTGCGCCCGCCCGCCCACGCCACAGCAGGCGCTAACGACCATCTATTGGCGCGGATCCAGGGGCAATCGCAAGCCGCCAGGCGTAGCCGTGCGTCGCTTCTCCAAGTCCGACCCGCGGGTCGAATGGACCATCCGCGAGCTCGATCCGCGGATACACTTTGCGTTGGTGTGCGGTACGCGCTCGTGCTCCCGCCTGCGCGTCTACCCGACCCGGCCCTACAGCGTGCCCGCGGACTCGGCCTTGGTCGCGCGCCACCCGCACCTGTTCTCCACCGAAGCGGCCGCAAGCAATTCGATCACGGTCGACATCGACAAGAAGCTGACCATGGCCACCGAAGAATCCATTGCCGAGACTACTTCCATCGTGTTTGGTACCTCTTTCTCTCCCCCCCCTTCCACGGCACATCAGCGGTGCCCGACCAGTTCTGACCCCGCTTGTGCACTTTGTAGAACTGCGTCAAGTGCTCATTGCCCGCACCTTCGGGTGGTTCCACGACGACTTTGGCGCCAATGATAAGGATCTGCTGTCCTGGATCATCCCCTACCTGCGCGACCCCGGGCTCCAGGCCGACCTGGTCGAGTGCCTCAATGACCTCCAGTTCGAGGCACGCCGCCATCACTCCCCATACCTCTCTGCCTGGTCGTACAGATTAACTGATGAATGAACGGAATGTCGTATTGTTATTATTACCCTGCAGGTACGCTGTGGCCATTGGAACTTCGACCTCAACGTGTGGGAGCGGCCGGTGCTGGACGTGGTCAGCGACAAGGGGCCGCTCATCCTGTCGTGCCCCGGCTTCCGTCGCGAGTTGGGCAGCGAGCGCACGGCGGCCATCCGTCTCTTCGGCCAGGAGATCGGCGCCAACGAGACTCACCTCTATCGCACCCACTTCCACAGCCGGTACGCACATACGCCCACCACACCTCGTACATGGGCTGCGCTGCACAGATCTCGGTCCTCATCATGTTCGTTGTGATCGTGATCGTGATCGTGGCGACCAGGCCGCACACGAACTTCATGTGCAAGGACTCGGACGAAGGAGCGGTGGTGATCTGCGTGGCGCGGGACGACGTGGAAGCCGAGCACGGCACTGCCGCCCCGCCACCCCAAGTCGCGCAGCGCAAGAAGGCCGGCGCCAAGCCCCTCAAGAAGTACCGCGTTCTCATCCGCACCCCCAAGGTACGCAGCAAACGTTAATCTGCATCACCCACGGTGTGACTTGTGAATGCTGACGGTCTGTCACCCGCGCGCAATACAGGCGGATACGCAGATCGTGCTGAGCGCGTCTGGTCAGAAGGAGCTGTTCGAGTCGCTTCGGGCAGTGTACACCTTTGCGGACAAGCGCACGCTGGTGCCCATCGAAGACCCCAAGTTTTGTGAGGACCTGCTCTCTCTCGACGATACCCTGGTGCGACTTCTTGCCCCCCTCGCACATCGCACTCTGGTCTAACGTGGGTGGAAAAACGGCACAGCTCTACACCGAGTACAAGTTCGGCGTGCTGTACTACAAGGACGGTCAGACCAACGAGGACGACATGTTTGGCAACGTGGACACTTCGCCCGAGTACGAAGCGTTCTTGCAGATGCTGGGCCAAAAGGTGCGCCTTCAAGGGTGGAAGCAATACGCGGCCGGCCTGGACACGGAGAAGAATCAGACCGGCACGCACTCGATATTCACGACGTGGGACAAGTACGTGAGCTCCTCTTCCCAACGTTGGGTTTGACGACCTGTTGCCGGGCAATCAAGTGCTCACCTGCCATGTCTGATTGTGATCGCTTAGCCATGAGATCATGTTCCACGTGAGCACGATGCTGCCGTATTCGAAGAAGGACAGCCAGCAGATCGAGCGCAAGAGGCACTTGGGCAACGACGCCGTGCTCATCGTCTTCCACGACGGGGCCACTCCATTCCAGCCGCAGTGCATCACCTCCAAGTACAGCCAAGTACGCCTCCTCGCCCGCGTACGCGACACACGACACATGACACGAGACTAATCGCGCAAATGGGTGCTCTCGATCGTATCAGATCTACATGGTGGTGCAGGCGATCAAGCAGGAGGGCGGCGAGACTATGTACAGGCTGGGTGTGGCGTCGAGGGAGGATGTCCCAGAATACGGCCCACCACTGCCCAACCCTCCCGTCTTCCCGGCCGGGTCGCAGGCCCGCGACTTCATCTTCAAGAAGAGTACTTCGCCACCATCACATTTTCTCGATTGCGAGATCATCATTCGTTCTGACCTGCTTTCTCGATCGCGCGATCGCGCCAGTGGTGAGCGGCCTCCGAGCAAGCATGAAGGGACCCGACTTTGCCAAGCGGATTGCCCATTCAAGAGGCCTCGCGCTCAACTCCTACGCAGAGAAGTACCTCAACTGATCCGTGCATCAACCTCTTGCAACATCATCAGCTTTTCTATTGTATGTACACAACACGCACACCCCTCTCGCTTTGCACCTCTTCTTTGATTGTTATCTTGTATCATAAACCACGCGAGTCACACGGCCTCATTGTCGTTGAATGCAATCGCCGAACCGATCGAAGAAAAGAGAGGGTTCTGCAGCTGGTGAGTTCTGACGCTCGGGCCTCGAGCGTTTCCCGCTTCACCCGAGCTTCCGCGGAAGGCCGAAGCGCATTTTATCGGCCAATCGCACATTTTCCTTGTTGGCGCGGAGAGATAAAAGACATTCCGCGGAGGAATCCGAGGCACGCTCCCAGGCTTCCGGTTTGTGCCGGGAGCTTTTCGCGCGGATGCCGGCCAAGACGCTAAAGGAAACGGGCACGAGCCCCGACGCGGGCCAAACGGTGAGATAGCAAGTCGCCGGCGTCTGGCGGCCGGGTGAAGTACCAGGGGCTGTACACATCTTATTGATCTCGCACACACATAGACGTTAGATCGATCTCTGTCATTGATTGATTCACGATCAAAGGAGAAACAAGAGAGCTGCTTCCTTTTCCTCTTTTTCCTCCTTCCCCATAGCGGCGGCCTCGCCACTTCATCATCCATCAAAGAGACAATTGACTGGTTGCACATACAAGATGAGCCACTCATACAGTCGGGCGAGTTCCTACACGTTTCGCACCAGCTCCGCGCGATCCCTACGCACATCAGCTTCTATAGCGACTCGAAATAGTAGCGCCATGCTACGCGAGTTCCTATGGTGGTCCACAGCCCCAGAGGGAGGCCAGTACGTACCGCTCAATGTGATTTAGCATCCAGCTCTCGCATTTCGATGAGCCTCTTACCCATCTTATCAATTCCTCATTGTTTGTCCTCGATTTGACAGGAGGCTCGAGCTCGATCCCGAAGCGATGACGAAACAGGAGCGGCTGAGTCGCATGCTACACGTGCAAAAGGAGTACACACCCCTGCCCACCTCCGGACCCCTCTTCGAACACTTCATCGTGGTTGGCCTGCCCACCCCCACCGCGCAACGCCCAGAGATCCTCTATTCCTATCCTCCCAGCAATCCGTACGTTTCTCCCCTTGCTGTCTCCTCTTGGGCTTCTTTCGTCTGTGTAGTCAGACCGTGCGCTCTACCACAGTCTTGGTGGTGGTGTTGGTTGCAATGGGTTGCTGATGATGGGCCTGCGCTCCTTCATCAGGGTGTCGATACCGGGTCTGGCCGATTTTTGCTTCCCCTCGGGAATCCTGTCCAAGAAGCTGCGCAAGACCAAGTCCAACAGCAGCCTGCTGCAGGTGGTCTACAGCCAGTCCTACCACCACGAGCCGGAGAACGCGTACGTGTTCCTGCTCACCACCGCCGAGCGAGAGTTTCTCTACGGCGTGTGCGTCATCAAGCACGAAAGCGTCTACGTACGTGGCCTTCTTCTCTCTACACAATGCTCGGTCGGCATTTCTCTCGCGTTGCTTGACAGGCTGACATTCATCATGGCCGTGGCTGCTGCTGTCACTTTGTTTGTTGCTACTGTAGAACAAGCCGTCGTTCTTCCCGCGCGACGGTCAGCTGACGCCGGTGGCTGATGGATCTGATGTGGTGGCTCCTCGCTGCTACTGCTTCGTCTCTCGTTTCCCCTTCTTCAAGCTGCACTTTGAGACCATCTACAGCATACTCGGTAAGGGCCTCTTTGTTCCAACTGTTTGCGTTTGAGAGAAAGAGGCGCGGGCATTGACTTATATCACCACTATGACTGTACAATGCGCGAACGCGAACAGACCTCGAGTACATGGCCAGCGTGTCGGACCTGCAGAGCTTGCCCGCGAGCCTGGGCAGTACACGCGAGTCGCAGTCCCCACCGGCGCTCGCTCACTCACAATCGATGTCCGCGCTCGTAGCTCCACCTCCCGAGAAGAGGAAGAAGAAGATCCGCTTGCGCAGCCGCTCGAACGGGCTGGACACCAACGACTCGAACTCATCCGCGGCGCAGGACCAGTCGCCGTTCCCCGGCATCCCGCTTCACACTGTACATAAGATGCCCGATCAGCCGCCAGAGAAGACCATCGTCGAGAAGGGCCGAGAGAGGCAGAGCAGTGATGCGTCGAGCACTACGACGACGGAGGTGTCGCCCGACGTGGCTAACCTCAATCGCGAGCAGGCCTCGATCAGGGAGCGCAGCGGCTCTTCGCCCATTATCGAGGAGGACGGCGGGGTGAGCCACAGCTCGGCGATGCCGTCGGTGGGCGACGAGGCCGACGAGAGCAGCGACTACGACGCGGTCGATGGCCGCGGCAGGGAGAGCGGATCGGAGGACAGCGAGTGCCCGTCCACGAGCTCGCCCAAGAAGCGGTCGGACTGGAAGCGGGAGGCGCTCACGGGCCGGGGCATCGTCCACGGTCTCAGCGAGAAGGGCAAGGAGAAGGAGGAGGAGAAGGAAAGCGAGAAGAAGCAGAACCCCGTGATCAAGGTGCTCCACGAGTACCTCGCCCTGCCCATCCCCAGGCCCAACCACACGGCCACCTTCTTCGTGCACAAGGGACTCCAGACTCTTAGGTACGTCGTCGTCGTCATAATCGTCCATCAAGTTGATGAGAATCAGCGTGTAGCTCAAACTGTGTGATCGCACCGCCAACGTTGTGTTTTTTGATGTCTATGACAGATTCCACCGACCGGCATTCCAAGACAAGGAGCACCTCCTGGCCGACTACTGCCTACCGCTTACCTTCCACCTTCTCTCCACCGACAATCTCCTCACTTTCATTACGGCCTGCCTCCTGGAGAAGAGGATAGTCGTCTACTCCTCTCACGTGCGATTCCTCTCCGCCGTCGTGTACGTGGCCCGCTACCCGCTACCCTGTGCCCTCATACCTCTTCACTCTTTCTCTTGAATCGTGAATGGGTGACTGACTGACTTGCGCGCCTCGCAGGCTCTCGGTGATGCCTCTTCTACGGCCATTCGAGTACCATTCGGTGCACATTCCCATCGTGCCAGACTCGTTGGTCGATCTGCTGGACGCGCCGGTGCCGTTCATTGTCGGCCTCACGTCTGCTCCGTCGAAGCAAAACTACAGCAAGGACAACAAGGAGTTCGTTGTCGTGGACCTGGACAACGACAAGATCACCACCAAAGACACGCTGTGCCAGCTTCCACAGCTCAAAGAACTGTACGCCCACCGCACCGACCACATCACACCAGCCGCGCCGCATGGCAAACACTTGATGACCATGTTGGACCCCATCTCACGTTGAGCAACTGCTGTGATGGTGATGGTGATGTCAGGCGCAAGAAGCTGAAGCCACTGCTGAAGGTGGTGTCGGCCGGGCGACAGAGCGGCAAGGTGCCGTTCGCGCCGACCGAGGAGCAGATGTCCTGCTGCCACGGCGCCAGTCTCATCCTCCAGACCTACTTCTCCACCCTCTTTGCCAACTTCCGAACCTACTGCCTCTGCGACAGGTTCGTTCGTCGTTTTGTGCTGCACTCTTCGTTCTTCTTCGTGCTTCGTTCTTCTTTGGTGCGCCCTCGTGTGTGCTGATGATGAAGCTTTGTCTGAACAGGACGGACTCGGAGAAACCGATAACGGTGTTTTTGAAGGACTCGTTCCTGAACGACCAGCCACGAGTGTCGAGGCCGTTCCTCATCCGCTTCCTCGAGACGCGGATCTTCTTCCAGTACTGCGATCAGCGCCTGCGGCAGATCGACGCGCCGCCCACCACCTTCCCCACCTTCTAGAAGAAGATTGATCGTTGCTGATGGTGACGAAGGCCATCTTCGTCGACGAGCCAGCCGCATCTCATCTTCACCGCTCCTCACCTTCCGCCGACGCGACCATCCCGCTGCGGCCCTTCTCGCTCCTCACTTCGTCATCGTGGATAGCCACGCGATGGAGCGACATTGATCGGAAGTGGCCAATGTGCTGGTGCTCTCCTCTTCCCTCTCCTCTTCTTCTTCTCGTGTACATACCATGATACTCGCCACACACCCATCTCAAGAACGAATAAAGAAATCACAACTGTAAAGGATCTGATGTTCGATTGAGTTTCTCAAGTACTGTACATCCCGGTAGGAGGCACAAGACGCCTAAGCGAAGTTGGCCTTGATTCGATTGACATTCACCTTCTTGCGGAAGTAGAGCTCCATGGTTCGCTTGTCGTTAAAGCCCTTCAGCGTCCGTCGCAGATCGGCGATGTCTACTCCCTCGCACAGGAGGAATTCGCGCTCGATTACGTCCTCCTCGACCCCGAGTATCTTGAGAAGAGTAGCGACTACGATGCCCGTTCGATCCTTGCCTGCGTGGCAGTGGATGAGGACGGGGAACTTGATGTTGGCGGCGTCCTTCTTCTCGAAGAGCTTCATCGCGTCAGCGAGCCACTCGCGGACCTCGGCGGTGTTCGTGTCGTATTGTCGATCTTGTTGGGGATGGACAGCTGAATCCAATCCACCTGAGGCACGCTGCCGTCCCCCTGAGGATCCTTCACCTTCTCGAATTGGCGCGTATCGTCTTCGCCCATGCGCAGGTTGATGATGGTTTGCGGCTTACCCAGCTCCTCCCACGTGCAGAAGTCGATGAGGCCGCATCTCAAGATGCTGCCGGGACGAATGATGGCACGATCCGGTACGAGCTGTTGCAACGCCTCACCCACATCACGCCAGTTCTTTTTCTTTACCTCCATTGCTGTTCTGGCTTGCCTGATACCTTCCCCACCGAGTTAGTCCCCCGCATCCCCATCTTGATGAATTAACCGAAGCGATCTTTTTTTTCCATTCTTGGTATTTTTTGTTTCCGAAAATAAATAAATAAATAAACAATTAGTGCCAGGGAGATTTCGCCCAGGGCTTGGCCGAGCTGCCCTCAACAAGCCTTGATCCTTCCAGCCGCGGTACCCCTCCAACCACCAAATGGCCACTTGAGCTTTTCATTCCGCGTACGAACACCATCAGCGCACACCAATGCACTCTCTACAGCTCAGCTTACACGCCGCGGTTCTGGTGGCGGCGGCGACCCTCGTCCTCTTCCCCTGCCCACAACAGGTCCGCGCCTACTCCTGCCAGCACGACCACGTCATCGCCGGGTAAGCATCTCTTTGTGCATCTTTTTGCAGTTTACATGACACGAGCTCTAACTCCCATCAGGTTCAAAGCGACCTGGGTGTCCACTACACAGAGCTACGACAGCTCGTCGACCCACTTCAAGCGCCAAAGTGGTACGTGTGACTTTAGTTTTCGCACTTCCTTCAGCCCTGCCGACCATCCTCCTACAAGCCAACACCACAACAGATGACGGGTATCGCCCAATCCGCATTCGCGCCGATTACAGCAACATCGACATCGACACCGACTTGGTAAGAAGCCAAGCCACCACCACGATTCGCCACTGCAGTCTTACTAACACCACCATCACACGACGCGCACACTCTCACACACGACACACACCACCTCCACCAGGAAGGATACATCAGCAAGGTGTTGATGCCCGCCGCCCTCAAGTGGATCAGCAGCGCGCTCGCCGTGGTTCCCGTGCAGGGAAATCTCACCCTTCAGGTACCTAACCATTTCTGTTCCTGCGCGCGTCATCGATGGCGCGTCTCGAGTCGCCGCCGGCCCCTCTCACCGGCACTAACCCCACTGGGCACAGCGGCAGTGCATTCGATTCTACACCAGCCCGTTCCGCTGCATCGAATACGCGCCGCCGACCTGCGGCAGTCTGGTATGCGCGAGTCGTAGCGACTACTCTGCTGGGCCACTCCCTCCCTTCCCTCCACAGGCTGACGCCGCGTGTGTCCCACCAGGCCACGATCCCATCGGCGCACTTTGACGCGGGCGTGCCCAACGCGGACTTCATCGTCTACGTCACCAACCAGCCCAGCGTCGGAGAAGAGATCGCCAACGGAGGTCAGGCGCTTCCCATACGCTCTCCTCTCTTCCCCACACGCGCAGTGCGTGTGCCCCGACTTACCCGATTTCTGGTGTTCCTCTGTTGGCGGTGGCACAGGGACTTGCCAGTTCGATCAGAACGGGAGGCCCGTAGCTGGCGGCGTCAACTTCAGCCCACAGAACTTCGGGAAAGCGCAGAGTTCGTGTTGTTTGCGATGCCTGGTTCGTCGTTGTCACAACTTTCTAACACAACGCTCACCCAAACTGTGTTGGGACTACACAGACGGCACGGAGGACTTCCGTTATCAGGTCAACGCCGTCGTCCATGAACTGTTTCACGCGCTGGGCTTCTCCTCGTCCCTTTTTGGCCAGTGGCGCAACAGCCAGGGCGAGCCCTACGATTCTGGTACCCCACACCTCCCACACGCGTGCAGTCAGCAACGCGATGGTTGATTGACTGGTGTGGACGATGCACACAGTCACGCAGACCTTCAACGAGCGTAACAGGACCATCACCAAGCTGGTCACGCCCGCGCTCTCAACAAGCCCGCGAGTTCTTCGGTTGCCCCAACCTCAACGGCGTCGAGCTGGAGGACCAAGGAGGCCAAGGAACCGCCGGCTCGCACTGGGAGAAGCGAATCCTCAACGTACGTTGCGCTCTTCAAGTCTGATGCGAAAAAGAAGCGTGCGCCGGTGCTTACGCTCGATTTTCTGAGTGTATGTAGCAAGACTTCATGACGGGCGTGGGCGTCTATGGCGACTACGCGGCCAAGTCGGCCGTCACTCTGGCCGCCATGGAGGTACAACAGCCCTTCGGCTGGTCGCGACCGGCCTACAACACGCGAGCGTGCGGAGTTACACCTGATTGACCCGCCAAACATTCAACCCTACACAGGACTCCGGCTGGTACCGCGCCAACTACTCGGCCGCTGAGACTCTATGTACGCGCCACCTGCACGCACGCACGCACGCACGCACGCACGCACGCACGCACGCACTCACGCACGCACCGCACGCACCGCACCGCACGCACGAACGATGATCCAATAACGCTCAACAGATTGGGGCGCGGGAGCCGGTTGCGAGTTCACGACGGAGGCGTGTCTTAGCCTTCCGGGTCCCACCACGCCGTTCTCGTCCTATTTCTGCACCGACACCAGCCGTCTGTCCTGCACACCGGGGCGCTTGGCTAGAGGCAACTGCAATCTGGTAACACTCGCACTCGTACCACCGCACACGCACCACTGCACACACACACACACACACACACATCTCACGCAAGTGGACACTCTCTGACGTTTGGGTGGGCGTGCAGGCTACGTACACGCAGGATCTGCCGTCGGCGTACCAATATTTCAGCGATCCCACGAGGGGAGGCGCCCTCCAGCTCATGGATTTCTGTCCCTACTACCAGCCCTTCCTAGTCCAGGCACGCGTGGCTGTCGTTGTGTGTGTTGTGTGTTGTGTTGTGTGGAATGTAACGATGTGGCGTGGCGATCGTGTCGACCACACAGGGAGCGAACCGGACCTCGTTGTGCACGGAGCCGCTGAACCAGCCGCCCGTCAACTACTGGGGCGAGTCCTACGGCCCCGGCTCTCGCTGCTTCGAGTCCACAATCACCGATTCCAGGTGCGACTCGTTGCTCCCTCCCAAGCCCGACCTCGTCAGGCCATCTCACATGACACACACACACACACCCGACACACACGACACACACGACACACACGACACACGACACAGCTTCAACTCGTACCTCGTCAACGGCGGCAGCACTTGCCACAACTTCCGCTGCCGATCAGGTACGCTGCAGGTGTCGATCAAGGGCGCGTGGGTGTCGTGTCCGACGGCCGGCGGCTCCATCAGCGTGTCCGGGTTCAGGGGCGCCTTCACCTGTCCGCCCGCCAACGAAATGTGTCCACCGCCGGCGGCGGCCTCCCCCTCCACCTCGCCCGCCCCGAGCGCCTGAGCGGCTGACTGAGCGAAAAAATTAAAAGAAATTAAAAGAAATTAGAAGAAGAAAAGAAAGGAAAAGTTGGTGTGCTTGGCTCTCGTTGGTCCGGACGAGGGGAATACGCAACCACTTCCCTTGTTTGTTTAGTTTTCAAAAGAAGAAGAGAAGATGAAGATGAAGATGCCGCATGTACATGGCATGGCGGTCTTGTGCCTTGTGGCCTTTGTGTTTGTGTGCTCGACTTCGGCCCTGTTTGCGGCGCCTGCGAGGGACCAGAAGCTCGTGGCCGAGGTCCAGCGGGACATGCTCGAGGGAGGCCCCCTGGCCCCGCTCGCCCCGCGCCACCGCCCCGCAGCCGCCGCCTCCGCCGACCTCGACGCCATCGTCCACGAGTTTGCCTCGGTACCTCTCAAATATCTTACCTTTTTTCTTTATTTGATATTTTATTTTAATATTTATAAATATAGTCCGCTTCAGCGAACTTCGACTCCCAATTAAAATTCTCTTTTTCCTTCCCTTTTCCTGCGCCGCACAGAAGCAGGGCAAGCGGCAGGGCGGCGGCGGCGGTGGAGTGCCGTCGAGCCTCACGCCGGTGGTGATCGTGCCCTCCCTCATCGGGAGCAAGCTGCAGGCCCAGCTCAACGGCTACCGCTCCCAGTACGTGTGCACAACACGACACGACACACACCACACGACGCGTGTGCGCACGACACGCACGACACTCACGACACGACACGACACGCACTGCGGGTGTTGTGTTGTCAGGCACTGGTACTGCTTCACCGAGTGGCGGGAGTGGTTCACCATCTGGGCCAACTGGAACGAGTTCATTCCGCCCTTTGCCAACTGCTGGTACGAACAGTTCGCGCTCCACCTCGACCAGCAGCGCAGCGGCCGCTCCTTCAACACCCCCGGTACCCCCACCTCCTGTGCGGCGAGTGCGGTGAGTGCGGTGTGTGCGGTGAGTGCGGTGAGTGCGGTGTGTGCGGTGAGTGCGGTGTGTGCGGTGTGTGCGGTGGTGTGTGCGACTGACGAGAATGGGCGACCAGGGGTGGATATTCGGTACGTGGACTATGGCGGGGTGGACGGGGTGGCGTACCTGGACGACGACCACTCGGTCGGGATCTGGAACTCGACGATCTACCTGCTCGAGGCGCTGGGCTGGGAAGTGGGCAAGAACCTGCGCGGCGCGCCCTACGACTGGCGCTTCGGGCCGGAGACCTTCGCCGCGCAGGACTGGCCCCGGCTGCGCGCCCTCTTCGAGGAGACCTACGCGCTCAACAACAACTCCAAGGGTAAAACCGCACGACCGCACACGCGTCACCGCACACACCGCACTCACCGCACACACACCGCACACACCGGAAAAACGCGCAGTGGCGGCGGTGTCGCTGTCGATGGGCGGTCCCTACTTCCTGGCCTTCTTGAACCAGCAGACGCAGGCGTGGAAGGACAAGTACCTCCACTCGTTCGTCTCGTTCGATGGCGCCTTCGGCGGCAGTCCCTCGGCCACGTCGGCCCTCATCTCCACCAGCGGTACCACTGCGCACCCCCCCCCTTCCCCCCAAACGCATGCGCGCATAGGTCTGCTCACCGGTGTGTGCGGTGGTGCGTGTGCGGTGGCGCGTGTGCGATGTGTGTCGTATGCGTGTGTGCGGTTCAATGTAGGCTGGTGGTCCTCCAAGTTCGCGGACGCGGAGGCAATGCGCGCCCTCGTCCAAAGCTGGCCTGCCATCGTGTGGATGCTCCCTTGGCTCAGGTAACGTCCCTCCGCCGCCGCCACGACGCACAAACCCGCACGCACAGCGAGGGCTCACCAACAAACACGCAACACGCAACACGCAACACCAGATCTACGGGGATGACTACGTGTGGGTGAGCACCACGAACCCGCCCAAGAACTACACCACGGCCGACTTTGCGCAGATGCTGGCCGACTCGACCGGCTACAACGCCTCCATCGTCTTCCGCAATCTCCAGGCCAACAGTACATTCCACACACGACATGACACGACACACGACACGCATGGCACGACACACGGGTTAACATCTCTACCTCGACGTCGTCCGCAGACTGGCTCCAGTTCGCTGCGCCGGGCGTGGAGTCGCACTGCTTCTTTGGCACCGGCGTGCCGACGCCGCTGCGCAGCACGTTCGCCACGGCGGCGTTCGACACGCCGCCGGTGACGGTCCACGGCGACGGCGACGGCGTGGTGCCCGAGGCCGGCCTGCGGCTGCTCGAGAGCTGGACCGGCAAGCAGCCCCAGCCCATCTACAGCTACCCGATCCCTGGCCTCGTCCACGGCGGCAGCGTCTTCAACAAGCAGGTCCTCCGCATGTTCCTCGAGATCCTCTCCTCGCACCCTTAACCACATTTTTCTGAATAATAATTCTGAAATATATAATTTATATTCGTTTTTATTCCTTTTGTACCATATTTATTCTATTTATATTTAAATTGTTACGTGAAAAGAAATATTCTGTTCATGCACACAAAAAAAGGCACCCTACGGGGTGCGGGGTTCATCATCGGTCGTCGGCTCGCTCCTTGCCCTTCTCCTCTGAGATACCGTCGTCGTCGCGCTTTTCCTCCTCTTCATCGTTTTGCTCATTATCGTCGTCATCGTCGTTGGCGTCTTGTGATGACTCGGGCCGCCTGCGCCGCAGAGCGGTGGGCGCGGCCTTCTTCATCATGCGCAGGAGGCGCATCTTTTGGGTGTAGCCCCGGAAGGCGGCCTGGATCATGGTGGCGGCCCCGCTGCGCTTGGCGTAGCGCTGCCGGTAGAGCTTCTGGATCTTCTTGGCCGCCTCGTTCCGCTTCTTCGACCGGTAGTCGCGGAAGGTGGACTGGATCAGCAGCGCCGCCTGCTCCTCGCGCTCGCGCTCGCTCGAGGGCGCCTCTCCGCTCATTGTTCGGCTGCGTCGCAGGTCGCTGTCGCCCGGGCCTCGCGCCCCCTCGAGCTTGACCAGGAGGGAGAAGGCCTCCCAGAGCTTCTGGTACTCGGCGCTGCCGCCGCCGCCGTCTCTCGCCTGCTGCGCCTCGCAGGTCTCCATCGGCGCTGTTGTGGTGGTGGTGGTTGTCGACGTAGGCGTCGATGGCGCGTGCCTCATGGTGCTTTCGAGTGCGGCCAGCCGCTTGAGCACGTCCGCCTTGAACGTGTCGTCTGGTGCGGCACGTTGATGACGTCAGCAGTCGCCAGCACCAGTGACGGAGGGGGAGTGGCCAGAGGCGCGTACCGTAGGTGGGCGTGGTCTGCGTCGGTGGTGCGACGGCGACGACGGCTGGACAGGCAGGCGGGGCGCCCTCCTTGTCGGGCGCGGTCGTCGCCATCGCCTGGAATTCGCGGTATTCAAAGTGCACGATATTGCTCACCGGCGTGCGGTCGCCGAGCGTGATGCTCAGCGGCACGATGCCCGCGACATGCGACGGAACAAAGCACCTCAGTACTCCCTACACCGCGCGCGCGCAGCCAAGTGGTGTCAGTGATGAGCGTGTGCGCTTCCGAAGGCATCGATCAAGCACCAGATGGATGCACCACGCACCGCTTGCACAAAGTCGGCGGGCACGACCACGTCGTCGAACATGCACGTCAGTCGCGTCCCTGTGGTGGCAACGACCGGTCAGCGACAGCACTTGCGCACCAGGGATCGGTGTGCGATAGCGAGGAGCAGCAGCAGGAACGCACCGGGCGCGGTGGGCGGGAAATGGCCGGTGATGAGCACCTTGGATCCGCCCGTGACGTAGTCCCACTCGGGCGAGAGATCCTGAATGGTCGCAGCTGCCGCCATCGACTTGCAGTACTGCGGCAGCGTGTGGTGCTGGTGCTGGTTCTGGCCGTAGAGGCTCTTCGCCGCCATCATCATGACGGGCGACGGCGATCCGGGCAGGGGCGGTGGCCCAGCAGGCGGCGAGGCCACCAGGGCCATCAGCTCCTCGTCCAGCTGGTCCCAGTCCACCACCTGGCTAGCGCTCGGCGCCGGCGGCTGCGTTGGCAGTGGGCGCGGTGGTGGTGGTTGTGCTGGCTGCGGGTGGTGGTGGTCGATGGTGGTGGGCTCCTGGAGGTAGTGGACGAGCACGGTGGGGTCGTCGGCAGAGGAGGCGCCGAGGAGGCTGTAGACGCGGCGGTGGAAGGACCGGTTGGCCTCGGCCTGGACGTAGCAGCAGCGCAGCACCTCGACGCCGTCGACCTTGAGCCGCTCGTGGCACTCGAGCAGGCGCTTGCCGTCACGGCCGCGGCGCCAGACGACCCCGTCGAGCCGGTACTTGGTCACCTTGGGCCTGAACAAGAAGACCGATCCACCTTTTGTTGTGAATTGACATTCCAACGTTGCGATCAACGATCGATGAAACGTCACGAAGGTGTTGAGAATGGATTGAAAGATGAGAGATGGGGACGTACTTGGTGGGCAGCGCACGACGTCCCTGTTGTGCGAGTAGCCTTCGGCCTTGTAGTTGCGCAGGATGTGAAGCACCTCGTGCCCTTTGAGCCAACGACAGGTGGCCTCGCGCAGGAGCTGGCCTATCGAAAGGTGCTCCCGCAGCGCCATGGAGTCCATCTTGATCTAAAGCAGTGTAGAATCAAAAAAGAAAAACCTGAAAAAGATTGGAGCAAATCGCACTTTCTACATCCACATGCTGCAGCGCGCGGCACGGAACGCATCGTTGGGCAGCCTCAGGGGCGGCGGCAATGCGTTGGGTTTGACCTCCTTCCTGCACCAACGTTGCCCACGGTACGTGCCACTACAGGATGCATTGCGATCTTCGAAATCAGTGATTTAATTCATCACACAAACGGGCTGTAATGCAACATCAGGCTGCTGGTACAGACGCCGGTGCGGCTCTACGCACCGCAACCGCGGCGCCGGAAGCCGCTGTCAGATCAGAAGCTGCTCGTCAAGAAGGAGAAGAAGATCCTGCGCAAGCTCACCAAGGAGGAAGAGAAGCGCGCTGCCGACGCCTTCTACAGCGCCCACGAGGCGCAGGAGGCCGCTGGCGCCACCGCCACTTCCACTTCGTCATCGGCAGAAAGCGGTCGGCCGAGAACTAAAAAGAAGAAGAGGGCCAGCGACGGTGGTGGCGATGGTGCGGGCGAAGGAGCGACCAGCGCAGGCAGCCGCTTCGGTAGGGACCAGCGGCTGGCGGACTCGCGGGAGGCGCTCGTCGAGCGGGCGCGGCAGCTGGCACGGCAGAGCGCAGCCCGGGCAGGCAGCGGGTTGGCTGGCGCCCGAGGCCAACGCAGGGTTGAGGACCTTCCTCAGGTAAGACACTCCATTCGGTCGATGCTCCAGCAGTGCAATGACCGCATGTGTGTCGTGTGTGCCGTGTGTGTCGTGTGGTGTAGAGCAATCCGTGGCTTCTGTACGCGAACGAGATGGGCGACATGATCGATTTTCCGGGTCTGGAGCTGGTGGGCGCCGTGGCCGGCGAGGTCACTCCTCACCGACTTGACCGCGGTGACTGCATCAGTGCGCCCGAGGGAAGGTATGTGCGCCTGGCCTCCGCGGCCCAGCGTTTGTTCCGAACGATGGCCCTCGTGACTGACGCGCCCGCATTCCTCAACTATTCTCCTCCCTAGCCGGTTGCTTACGCTCAGCCAACGAGCCCCGGTCGGGTATCAGAGGGACGACCAAGAAGCGGAGGTGCTCTCGGCGGACCCGAAGACCGACCGGGCGAACATGACGAAGCGCGACCGTACGTGGCCGCCCGAGGCGGTGGCGGTGAGCCTGCCGGCGCCCTACATCGCCACCCACTACTCCTCCTTCAACTCGCTCCCCGGCGGACAGACCCTGCCGCTCTTCTTCTATACGCCCGTGTAGGTGCCCTCGCTGCTCTGCTTCTGCCTCACAGTGCGATGACTAATGCGCTGTCGTGTGTGTCGTGTGTCGTGTGTCGTGTCGTGTGTCGTGTGTCGTGTGTGTTGCAGTGGCTGGTGGAAGAAGGGCTCCGACTTCCTGGTACCGGCGATGCGCATCGACGACGATCCACGCCAGGATCTGGAGCACTTCGAAGACGAGGAGATCATCGACAAAAAGATCCAGGAGAAGCTCGAGAAGTTTCCCGACAATAGGTACTACCCATCGGTGTGCTCTGCGCGCGCGTCACACACACGACACACACGACACACACGACACACACGACACACACACAAGTGGTCTCATCAACGCCGGCCCTGCAGGTTCGTGCAGCACTTGGGGACGTGCGTAGCCAACTACTCGTGTCTGTCGGCCATCAACTTTTTCATGGGCCGGTGGGAGGCACGTACTGACACACTCCCGAATCGAAGGAGCTTAGGCCCACCACCTACACCACCAACCACCACCACCATCCACAACCTGTCTGACGGGCCGTCAACAGATGCCGGTGCCGACATCGCCGCAGGGCAATACGATGTGCCTGGGCTGTCCCTCCCTGCAGAAGGACCGGAAAGACCTCTTGGCACGCTACAAGCGGTACTTGCTTCCTTGTCTCGCCCCCTTATTGCTCCCTCCCCCTCTTTTCCAATGGTCTCTTTCCGGTCGCATGAGAGGTGGTGGGTGAAAGACTGACTGGTCGCACTCATCAGCATTCCGTTCGTGCCCACGGCCGATGAGATCGTGGAGGTCGCGGTGGAACACCTGGCCAAGGCTCCCCACGCCATCATCGCGTACGACACCACTCTGCTCTGCGCGCCGACGCACACATTGACGCACTTGATGGCGTGCAGCGACAGAGGAGCATAACTAAAACCAATTGATTGGCATTCGTCGTCAACGCAGGTTCGGGCAATCGTGCGAAGGCGAGCCGCTCTTGCAGGCCGACCTCCTGTGCGAGGTGATTGCCAAGATCCGCCAGCGCACAAGGCGAGGCACAATTCACGTCAACACCAACGGCACGGTGACGGAGGCGGTGGCGCGGCTGCGCGAGAGCGGGCTGGACAGCCTGCGCGTGGACGTCAACAGCGTGCGGCGGGAGTACTTCAATCGCTACACGCGCCTCAACTACGAGCCCGTCGTCGAGCGGCTGCGTCAGGCCGCGCGCGAGCGGATGGAGCGGGCCAAGCGCGGCGAGCCCGAGCCCGATCCCGAAGGCGAGGAGGCCCAGTCCTTGGAGCCCGACGACTCGTTCGACAAGGCCAAGGAGTCCCTCAAGGTCATGAAGGTACCGCCCACCACCACGCCTCAAACGACACACGACACACGACACGACACTCACGACACATGAAGCGGTGTGCTGACGTCAGCGAGCGGCTGGGGGGGGGCAGGACCGGGGAGGATTCACGTCGATCCGGTACATGATCCTGCCGGGACTCAACGACGAGCGGAAGGAGGTGGACGAGCTGTGCCGCTTCATCGAAGAGACCCGCATCGACATGATCCAGTGGCGCAACATCGCCCTCGACCCCGAATACTATCTCACCTCCATCAAGTGCGTACACTACACTCACACTACACACGCTTGAAGACGATGATACATACCATTCATTCACTCACCCAAACATCGTCATCGTAATCATCACGACCACCACCGCTAGGTACGAGCCGCCAGCGTCGGTGGTCTATGCGGAGAAGCTGGGCGTGAAGCAGCTCATGGAGACCATCCGTGACAAGTACCCACACGTCAAGCACGGCTACTACAACCCGTGCCTCGACGAGAAGGCCCACGGCTACAACCTCACCACCGCGTCACCATGACCTGAGGTCGCAGTACGCACACATATCATATTGCCTACATATCATAGTTATAGTTATCAAGAACACTATAATGGGGAATGTTGTGGATATTTCACTTCTCCAGCTCGACGACTCCGGTGGTGTTCCTGTTCTTCTGCATAGCGGCCATGACGTCCTCCATGGTCCGTATTCCGTCGGAGGTGATCGTGGAGAGGCACAGCTGGTGGTGCTCGCCCAGCTTCCGGGTACGCACCACGGGATGGTACCACAGCGCCTGTTCTTGGGAGGGCAGGAAGCGAGGCAATGTGGCCACCGCTCCTGGGCACCGCAAGAGAAAGCCTCGATCGCATTCGTACGTTGGCAGAACAAACAACCAGTAGGCATCGGGCGAACCCAACGTGGTGCCGTTGCTTCCGCTTGCCGAAACACAGCCAGCCTTCACTTCACCGTATTGTTATTTATTTATTTGTTCTATTTTAAAATATCACAAATAGTCGAACGAGATGGAAGGTGGTGCAGACATTCCGATTATCGATGTGGGCTGCTTCTTCGATGGCGGTGCAGACGAGAGCACCAAGCGATCTGTGGCCACGCAAATTTACGACGCACTGCACAACGTGGGATTCATGTACATCCGAAATGCCAAAATCCCTTCGCCCCAGGTAGGCCTCCATCCCTATGTGAGACAACTTGCATAGGATCATCTGCATAACACGCAAGCGAGCGCTCACTTGGATTAATCCATCTGAAGATTAACTGAGGCGCTACACAAAAAGGAAGTCGAGGAGGCGTTTGCCCTGTCGCGTCAGTTCTTCGCCAGGGAGGTGAAGGACAAGGAGCTGCTCGCCTGGACGCCGGACAACATCGGCTACGTCGCTGTGCAGCGCGAGAGGTATTGGCGTGTGCGGTGTGTCGTGTCGTGTCGTGTCGTGTCGTGTCGTGTCGTGTCGTGTCGTGTCGTGTCGCTGAGACGAGTCTCAATCGACTGTTGCGCTACATTGGGTGCCAAGGCTGGACCCAACGAAGAAGGGAGATCTCAAGGAGGCCTTCAACGTGAACAACCGCAGGCAGATGGACCCGTGGTGGGCCAAGCACCGAGCCGAGCTCGCAGCCGCCAAGGTACCACACCAACGCCAATCTGCCGCGCCTAGTTTACTAACGTGCACTGCGACACACGACACGACACGACACGACACGACACACGGCTTTGCAGGCCGAGCGAACGGTCGAGGACATTGTGGGCGACGAGTTCCTCACGACGACCGCCAAGTTCTTCAACGCCTGCCATGTATGTACGCTCGGGCTGTGAGGAATGTGGGGAATGATAAACGCGTCAGCTGACGCGTGGGCGAATGGTGGTCTGATGCAGGAGCTGGCATGCGTGATCCTCCGTATATTCACCTATTCGCTGAATCTCCCGGAGGACTTCTTCGACAAGCGACTCCACGAGCAGGCCCACACCCTACGGTTCCTTCACTACCCCCCGCTGGACGCTGCAAGCGTTGAAACGGCCAGCGAGCAAAGTTCGTACACACACCACCACGACACACGACACACGACACACGACACACGACACACGACACACGACACACGACACACGACACACGACACACGACACACGACACACGACACACGACACACGACACACGACACACGACACACAAGCACGCAGCTGCTGAAACGCGCTTGGTGCAATCGGCAGCAAGGGCCGGTGAGCACAGCGACTACGGCGCCATTACGCTCCTGTTTCAAGACGACGTGGGCGGGCTCGAGGTGCGACGGAGCGACGATCAGTGGATCGAGACCCCGTGCATTCCCAACACCATCCTCGTCAACACAGGTGAGAAACCCCCGTGTGCGTGTGCGTGTGCGTGTGCGTGTGCGTGTGCCGTGTGCGTGTGCGTGTGCGTGTGCGTGTGCGTGTGCCGTGTGCGTGTGCGTTACTGATGTGGGGTTGCATGTACGCGGATAACAGGAGACCTGATGCAGTACTGGACCAACGACATCTTCCGATCAACGCGCCACCGGGTGGGCATTCCCTCGGACAAGGCCCGACTGGGACGAGGTAAACCCCACCCACCCACCGACCACTCGTCTACGCCGTGATTGCCACTCTTCGACGAAAGCCTCTAAAACTCATCGGTCTCGTCTCTTCGTGTTGCCGTTGTTGTTTGGTACGGCAGATCGGTACTCGATCGCCTTCTTCAGCCACCCGAACGACGACGTCGACGTGTCGCCGCTGCCCTCGTGCGTATCGGCCGACAATCCTGCCCATTACCCCACCGACACCCCGGTCTCCGCCGGGGCCTACCTCCAGATGAAGCTCGGCGCCACCTACTGACCTTGGACCAAGCAATCCGTACGACAACACACGACACATGACACGACGCACGACACACACCACGCACACGCGCACAACAGAATTTGTCAGCAATGAACGCTTGAATTCCACGTCATCGCCACGAGATCAAGTCTTCTCTTTTCAACTTCTTCAGCTACGGTTGCCTTTGTTTTGGTTCCTAATTGCTTTTCGCTTTTAGGCCTTTGTTTTCGGTGGTTGACGGGCAACCAACTCAAAATTCGTGAAATTCCTCGGTTACCATGCGATCGAGATCGCAGTAAGGAAAGGCGCTGACGTGGCCTGCTCTCCTTCGCTCGCAGCGCTCGCAGTATTGACGGCCTTGCCTTGGTGCAGTTCTACCGCGCCGCTGGGTTACCCTGGACTCAAGACCACCACAGTATAAATGAGCTCGCCAGCGCTCCCTCTCATTTCTTCACTCAACACACACACAACACACCAACCCCCCTCTACCAACCACATCACCACCTTCAACAACAATGGGAGACGAAGTTCAGGCTCTGGTCATCGACAACGGTTCGGGCATGTGCAAGGCCGGTTTCGCCGGTGATGACGCCCCGCGCGCTGTGTTCCCCTCGATCGTCGGTCGCCCGCGCCACACCGGCGTCATGGTCGGCATGGGCCAGAAGGACTCGTACGTCGGTGACGAGGCCCAGTCCAAGCGTGGTATCCTCACCCTCAAGTACCCCATCGAGCACGGCATCGTCACCAACTGGGACGACATGGAGAAGATCTGGCACCACACCTTCTACAACGAGCTCCGCGTCGCCCCCGAGGAGCACCCCGTGCTGCTCACCGAGGCCCCGCTCAACCCCAAGGCCAACCGCGAGAAGATGACCCAGATCATGTACGAGACCCCTCCTCTTTTCCATCACTGCCACGCAATAGGTGTGGTTTCGCATGAAAGATAGACTCACCTCCTCTCTTCCATCAGGTTCGAGACCTTCAACACGCCCGCCATGTACGTCGCCATCCAGGCCGTGCTGTCGCTCTACGCCTCGGGCCGCACCACCGGTATCGTCATGGACTCGGGCGACGGTGTCACCCACACCGTGCCCATCTACGAGGGCTACGCCCTGCCCCACGCCATCCTGCGTCTCGATCTCGCCGGTCGCGACTTGACCGACTACCTCATGAAGATCCTCACCGAGCGCGGCTACTCGTTCACCACCACCGCCGAGCGCGAGATCGTGCGCGACATCAAGGAGAAGCTGTGCTACGTCGCCCTCGACTTCGAGCAGGAGATGGCCACCGCCGCGTCGTCGTCGTCGCTCGAGAAGTCGTACGAGCTGCCCGACGGCCAGGTCATCACCATCGGCAACGAGCGCTTCAGGTGCCCCGAGACCCTGTTCCAGCCCTCGTTCCTCGGCATGGAGGCCGCCGGCATCCACGAGACCACCTACAACTCGATCATGAAGTGCGACGTCGACATCAGGAAGGACCTCTACGGCAACGTCGTCCTGTCGGGCGGCACCACCATGTTCCCCGGCATCGCCGACCGCATGCAGAAGGAGCTCACCGCCCTCGCCCCGTCGACCATGAAGATCAAGATCATCGCCCCGCCCGAGCGCAAGTACTCGGTCTGGATCGGCGGCTCCATCCTGGCCTCGCTCTCCACCTTCCAGCAGATGTGGATCTCCAAGGAGGAGTACGACGAGTCTGGCCCCTCAATTGTCCACCGCAAGTGCTTTTGAAAGGAGAAACATCGGGCGGGAAAGAAACCCTCCATTGTTCATCGCAAGTGCTTCTAGGTTTGCACTCTGCCTCTCTTGTAACCATAAGCTCGTACATACCACAAACAAACATTATAACAACATCATCGAAACACAAGTGTGTCACCAACAGTCAACGTTTATTCTCCGCCACTGGTAACTTTTGTAAACAGCCGAGTTAAACTCAACCACTCTGTGCTGGCCGGAGAGTGGACATAGAAACTGTTAACGTGCGAGCTTGACTGCCGATGGCCACCGCAGGGTTCTCGAGCTTCGGCACGCCCATTGTGGTGCGCGAGGAGGCGGGACCGCTTCCTCCGCTCCGCCTGGCCTTCACCATCATCACCGTCATCCTCGGTCTGTGCGCCCTCGTCCACGCCTCCCTCTACCTCCTCTTCCTCAGGTGCGCCCCCCCCCTCTACTCCCACCCCCTCTCAGTGCGAGCCGATGGTGACCGTCGCCCCCCCCCCCACATTGCGGTCACTAGGCGGGTGCGCGGCGGTGCGCGCCGGGGTCCGGTGCTGGCGGTGTTTGCGGCCTACGCGGCCCACCTGGTGGTGCACACGGCCCACTTCGCGGACAACATCGCGCGGCCGGTGGACTACTTCGAGCCCTGGTGGCTCTACCGCGGCTACGTGCTCTCGACGATGGAGATCACCTTCTTCGCCAACTGGCCCATGGTCATCAGCGGCGCTGTGCTCATCGGCCCGCTGCTCAAGTCCCTCTACCGTCGCCTTCATGGTGTCGATGGCGATGGTGGTCGGGCCTCCAAGGTCAGCTCGGTGGCCAGGCGGCGGAGGCTGTGCTGGGGTGTGGTGGCCTACGCCTCGACGTCCATCATGACCCTCATGCACTACGTCGTGGAGCCGCCCGTGTCCTACGCACCGGTGGTGAACTTCACCATCGCCGGAGAGGGCGTCGCCGCGCTCGTCCTCGGGCTCGTGGTGGCCTTCAACATGCCCTCGATGAGCAGCAGCAGCAGCCTGGAAGGAGATGTGAAGCAGCAGAACGAGACCGAACTGGAGACGCTCGCGGGCGAAGAACACGATCACGATGATGGGACGAAGAGCCAAACCACCATCAGTATAGACGGCGCTCGGTGGGTGGTGGCGGCGATGCCTTGAGCGCAAGGAGATGACCTTCGTGTTCCTCTTTCGTTCTTAAAGAAGCAGATCATGATCATCATTCGAGGTCGTCGTGCCTCTCTGACCAACAACAAGAAGAAGAAGAAGGGGAGGCTGTTGACAAACAAAGGAGTGTTATGTGTAAATCCGCCTCGTAGTTTACAGAGAAGAAAAAACCCACTCGAGCCTCGGTGAGCCCACGTTGAAGCGGTCGCGTTGGTTTGTTGTTCGCTTGGTTCGTCACGTGGTCGCTGACTGTTCGTGGGTGTGGTTGTCCGATGTTGTCGCTGTCTCCTTCGTCCTCGCCGTCGCTGTCGTCATAGCTATATACATGAAGAATAAATAACGGTAATGATGATAATAAATAAGTGGTGGAAGGCAGCGTCTGTCCTGCCGTCGTCGTTGCTCCGTCTCTTCGTCTCCTTCGATCGCTCTCGTGTCGCGTACTATCTATCTACAGTATATGTTGTGTTGGTCGTCGCTGGTCGATCGTCATCGCTCGCCCTGCGATCGCTTCAGTTGGTGCGGAACTGGAGACGACCCTCCAAGAACTTCCTCAGCTCGCCTAGCTTCTGTCTGTTGAGCTGCGTCGAGACGGTGGTGACCGGCGTGTACTCGTAGCGCGCGCTGGCTCCGAGTCGCTTGATCTCGTTCAGCTTGGCCTGCTTCTCCTTCGCCTCCTGCGCCCAGATCGCCGGAAGCTTGCCCTCGTTGGCCGTACCGGTTTCACTATACCGCGCACGCAAATGGGGTGAGTACCGGAACGCTTCGATGCGAGAGACGGCAAGAGGTACCTGTTGTTGACGGTGGTGAGCCACAAGTCCACCAGCTTGGCTTGGCAGACCGCCATTCTCTCGACGAGGGCGTTGCTCTCCTCGGGGGTGAGCTCTCTGTCGAGCGACCAGCGCAGAGACGAGTTCACCGTTTTCCAGAAGGCCCAGGTGATGTCGCCCAGCACGCTGTGCGTCAGACCCGAGTCGCCAGGGCCGTGGCTGGCCTGCCAGCCTGTTTCCTTCATGCCGCCCACGACACCTGTTGAAAGAGGACGGGTCAGAACGGAAAAGCCTCCTACTTGAGCTGAGTCTTCTGTCGTACCCTTGCTGTAGGGGGTCTCGATGTACGAGTCGTGGTAGGTGGCGATGATGCTGCTGTCCTCGTCCTTGAGGAGCTGCTCCTTGATGAACTCGAGCCACTCAGGCGCATAGGCAGCCACTACATCGGTGATGACCTTAGACCTGCACGAGCGCGCGAGACGAATGAGCAACGCAACTTGAGCAACGACCTTATAAGGCCGCCGTTGGCTGGCAAACCGGAGCCGGAGACGAGAGTACGGTACCGTTTGGAAGAGTCAAGGATACGAGTGGCCAGCTTGTGCACGTCTTCGGCGGCGAGGGCAGTCTGCAGGAGGGTTTTCGCGTGCTGGAGGAAGATGGGGCGAGCCTTGAGCACGTTGGCAGTATTGCGGAGACCCTCGAGCTCCTTCTTGATCAAGTCGGAGTCTTCGGTTGTCCTGCGCAAGGCGAACTTCTCCGTCTCGCTCATGATCCATTCCCACTCTTGCCAGATCTCACCTGTCGATGAAAGATTGATGATGAGATCATGACAGAGGTCATACATGCAATCTAGATTGGGACATGCAGGTCACGGAGCATGGGCAAGCGTACCATGTGCTTCTTCCTCCGCGAAGGGTGCAGGCAGTTCGTCGGAGATTTGAGTAGCCGTGACGTTGGTGGCAAGCCAGGTCGAAAGCTGGGAGACGAAGCCGCTGAGCCACACGGCGTTGTGCTGGATCTTGGCGAGGAACTCGTCTACAGGTGTGCCGACGAGGGACTCCTGCCCGCTCTGTGTTTCCGGTACCTCCATCGATGTGGTCTGTTCATCTTCGTCTGCAGCCGGGCTGTCTACCCACATGAACGATCTTGCTATATCCACGTTCTCGAAGCCCTTGAGGTATGGATGCATCGTTCCTGCACTCATCTCCATCTTCTTCTGTGAATTTGCCGCTACTTGTAAGTAATACTCTCCTCCTGCACACGACCTCGACTCCCTTTTTCTGTTCTCTCGCCCGTTCTACTTGATCTTTCTATTTATATGCTTGGCTTATCTCTATAAGTTGTGCACGCGATGATGGGAAGAGTTGTTGTGGCAGGCTACGGTGGCGTTGTGTTGTGGTCCTCTCTGGCGTCTCCTTCTTGCTGTTTGCCGAACCCACAACAGTCCGTCGCGTGTTCGCAACCCACCACCGCGGCCATAACCCGCCCGCTCCGCCTAAATTCCCGGGCGAAAACGCGAGCCGGCGAAAGGCAGGCAACCACCCAAATTTCCCTGTCGTCGCCGCCAGCTTGGCCCATAGCAGCGTGCTCGACATTCCTCCACTCTCGCTCTCCTTCTGCGCTCGTGCAAGTTCCTTTTGCCTGGCTACTATCACAGAAGCTGGGCTTGCGGCGTCGTTGATGAAAGCAACACGCTTGATGCTGGCATCGACCTCGTCACGAGGCTTTGGGTACGGTGCGTTTTCCGCCTAAATGGTGGCTGTGGCAACACCAATCAGAGCCGGTAAACTGTCAGCACTTCAGAGGAGCGAAAACAGAAATTGATGGCAGTTTCACGGACGCCATTGGGCGGCTGACGTGGCACGAACGACGAGAAGAGACAACACTCGGTGCGGAGCGCACAGCGTAACAGAGAGGGGGCGAGAGCGGAGGCGAGAGGGAAGAGATTCGACGCAAGGAGAGGTTTTCGAGGAGAGACAAGAGCGGGCACCTCATCATGCAAGCGACGGATGCGTCTCCTGTTGTCGAGGGCAAGAAGCCGACATCGGCGATGTATCTGGGCGAATGTCCAACCTACTACCCGACCGAGGAGGAGTTTGCAGACCCCACGCACTACATTCAGATGATTCGACCGCACGCCAGCCGCTATGGTCTGTGCAAGATCGTGCCACCACAGCCTGCCGAACGATTCCAGGGACCAAAGCGATTTGGCTTCAGGGAGGCACTTCAGCAGTCGTTCAGCCGGCTCAATCCGAAGGACTTCAAGTTCAAGACGAAAGTGCAGAAGATCCACCAGCTGCAGTCGCGCTATGGACCCAACGAGGCCTTCCTTCAGGACCTCCATCGCTTCCTCAACAAGAGGGGAACCCCTATGAAGACTATTCCGCGACTCGATGGCAAGGAGCTGGACCTCTACAAGCTCTTCAAGATTGTGGTAGAGCGAGGTGGTGCTAAGAAGGTTCGTGCTGCACATCCATCTATTGACCCATTCGTTTCCTTTGCGCCACGAACTCTCCCCGGACACATCCCCACCAACTGATGGATGTCGTCTGTCTCCTGGTGCTGACGCAACGCAACACAATAGATCCAGAGGAAGAGGAAGTGGATCGAGGTGGTGGAGGCACTCAAGTTGTCGCGTTCCTCGAAGCCTACGGCACTGGCCCAGCTTCTCGCCCACCAGTACAACCTGTGGCTGTCCGACTATGAAGAGCACTACCGCCGTTGTGTGGCGCAGAAGCATAAGACATCCACCCACACCGCCACTGCGTCGTCATCTTCAACATCGAATGGCAACGCATCGTCTCCATCGATGGAAACGGAAGCGGCCGCTGTGGGAGAGCACGCATCACCGTTGAAGAGGAAGAGGGACGAGAGCGACGAGGAACTGGACAAGAAGGAGGGAGGGGAGGCACACAGCGCGAACGGGAAGGTGGAGGTCAAGCCTGAGGGCGAAGCGAACGGGAGCGGCGCCAAGTCTGCTCCTTCCAGCGGCGGTGCGGAAAGCCCGGCCGGCTCTGCTACATCAACTGTCGCGGCTAAGTACGCTGCGTTCTCCTGCAAGCGATGCAACAAATCGATTCACAACTCGGAAGAAGCCATCACCGAGCACCTCGACTACCACTACGCCAGGTGCCCCACGCATCTCTTTATCTTTTTATTATTGTGCCTTTCCATCATCTCCTCGTTTGCTCTCTCTACACGATTGCACCCCCTTTTCATCCATTTAATCTTTCTAATTTGATTTATCGCAACCAGGGACATGGCGAGCGGCTGCTCGATGCCCAACTCCAACCTGGCGTCGATCGTGCCTCGCTACATTCTGCAAGGCAAGCGCCCCAAGAAGGAGAGCTCACCTCCCGCCGTGGTGAGCACCTCGTCGCTCGAGAGCAGCCTGACGGCGATCTCGCCCACGCACGGTACGTGAGACGTCGTCCGCCTTTCTCTGCGCCGCGTTCGTTCGCCACATCGCCTCACACAATCACAGGCGGGCGGAGCAAGAACAAGACAAAGAGAAGGAGGAAGATCTCGATGAACGTGCCCATCTTCAACGACCCGGTCGCCTCGTTCTCCTACTTCTCGTCACAGATCAAGCTGGGCAAGCAGGAGGACGACGAAAGCGATGCCTCGGCTGCCCCCGGAGGCAGCAGCAGCAGCAGCAGCAGCAGCGACGCCGGCAAGGGGAGCAAAGGCAGCAACAGGAGTCGAGACAAGAGCAGGGGGAAGGCGAAGAAGAACAAGAAGCAGAAGCTGGACGACGAAGACGACGAAGAGGAGATGGACGTGGAGAGCATCATGTGCACCACCTGCGGAGGCGGAGAGGACGAGGAGAACATGCTGCTCTGCGACGGCAAGGGTTGCGAGAACGCGTACCACCTGTACTGCCTCTCCATCCCCATCTCGTCCATCCCCGTGGGCGACTGGTTCTGCGACGAGTGTCTCCAGGCCAAGCGAGAGGAGGACGACAGGAAGCGAAGGATCGCCGCCGGCGAGAAGATCGAGGAGGAGGGCGACGATGACGACTGGCACGAGGAGTTCGGCTTCGGCGAGGGCAAGGTCTTCACGCTGGAGAGCTTCAAGAAGATGGCCGACAATTTCAAGCGAAAGTGGTTCAGGACGGACAACCCCGACAGCATAGCCGTGGCTCAGGCCGAGGAGGAGTTTTGGCGTATCGTCAACACCTGCGAGGTACTTTCTTCGCTGACCTTGCTTCACGCGTGCCACTTTGACCTTAGGACAGATCAACTCACCGCCTCCCCCGGCAATCATCAGGAGTACGTTCAAGTCCACTATGGAAGTGATCTGTGCACGTCGGCGCACGGGAGCGGCTTCCCCGAACCGACGGGGCTGCCCGAGCTCGATTGTGGCTGGAACCCGCGCGTGCTGGCCACCGTCAAAGTACGCACCTGTGACTCGCGCAAGTGCTTTCGCTCCGAGCGCTGGAGGCTGACTCTTTTTTGGGTGTACTATTCGAACGCACGCAGGGGTCTCCTCTGCGGTTCCTGGGCCAGGCCATATCCGGCATCACGATCCCCATGGTGTACGTGGGCATGTGCTTCTCCTCCTTCTGCTGGCACAACGAGGACAACTACCTCTACTCCATCAACTACCTGCACGAGGGCGCGCCCAAGAGCTGGTACCCAATCGTCTTCTTCGTTCTTCGTTCTTCTTCGTTTTTCTTCTTTAGGCGATCGCCCACGTCGCCGTCAACTTACCACTGCTCATGGCTGTAACATTCCAGGTATGGCGTGCCGGGCGCTGCGGCGGCCAACTTTGAGCGCGTCATGCGACTAGCCGTGCCCGACCTGTTCGAGGAGATGCCGGACCTGCTGCATCAGCTCATCACCATGCTCTCGCCGTCGGTCCTCATCGGCAGCGGCGTTCCGGTCTACCACCTCGTGCAGTACCCGGGCGACATGATCATCACCTTCCCCCAGGCCTACCACGCGGGCTTCAACCACGGGGTACACGCCTCGCTCCTCTCCTATCCCAGTACGCTGCTACAATGTTGATGTGGTGTGTTGGTGCGTGTGCGTCAGTACAACGTGGCCGAGTCGGTCAACTTTGCCACGCCCGACTGGCTGCCGTTTGGCAGGCGGGCGATGAGCCGTTACCGCAAGCACAAGCGGGGTCCCGTGTTTTCTCACCAGGAGCTCATTTGCAAGGCGGTCACCTACGAGCCCGAGTCGGCTGAGATGGGCAGGAGGTACGCATCGTGGGCCGCATCGCTTCATCGCTCATTCTCTTCCTTTCCTTTCCTTTCCTTTCACGTGTTGGTTCTGATGCTCTCATGTGTCGTGTCTTGGTGTTCAGGGTCCGCTATGAGTTCCTCAAGATGGCCGAAGAAGAACAGAAGTTGAGGGACAAGATAGTGATAGAGGGAATCGAAACCTGCATGCGCATGACCAAGGAGGACGAACAGGTAAAATGAGAACGGAGGAGCTTCTTCTCCCTCTCCGTCGCCATCGCCTGGCTGGCTGGCTAACAGGTCCACCTCTCACGCTTTCCTCCATCTTTGCAGGAAGAGGACTGCAGGCAGTGTAGCGTGTGCCTCTACGATTGCTACTTGTCCGCGGTCACGTGTGCGTGCAAGGACAACAAGCAGATTGTCTGCCTTCGCCACTCCAAGAAGATATCCTTTCCACCCTCCTCCCTCCCCAACGTGTGTCGTGTCGTGCGTGTTGTGTCGTGTTGTGTAGTGCGTGCCAATGTTGGGCGGCGGGCGTGTTCTCCTTGACTTGTTAGCACCTGTGCGCTTGCGAGGGACGTAAGAAGGTGCTCATGATCCGCTACACGTTGGCCGAGCTCGACGCCATGCAGAACAAGTACGACCTCAAGCTTGGCATCACCAACGAGCAGCAGCTCTTGCAGATGCAGCAGGCGCACGCCCTTCAGGAACAAGAGGTTCGACCCTCTGCGAGCTCATCGAACAAATTGATCACACTCCCCACTCACCGCGTCTTCTTCTCCACTGCGTCTTCTTCATCTCTTCGTTCTTGCAGGAGAAGCTGCAGCTGCAGCAGGAGAAGGTGTCACTCGCCGTGCGGCCGTGATGCATCCAGCTCAAGGCAACCCGGGTTGTGAATGCTTACATGTGTGCAGGATAGCAATACGAACCTCCTTTCCGTTGTAGGCCAAAATGGCCAAGAAAGTAATGAAGCCTGATGATGGCGCCGATGATGGATGGATGGAATTTAATCCGGGGGGGTACGCAGATGAAGAAAGGCGTTGTTTGATTTGTGCATGCATTCGAGTAGGAACATTTTAGGCCTTCTTCTTGCCACCGCCCTTGGCCGCCTTGGCAGCGAGCCTCTTCTCCTCCTTCTCTCTGCGGAGGGCGATCTTACCGAAACCTTTCTTGGGCCGGGGAGCCTTGCCGCGTTCCGCTCGTGAGGCCGTGCGAATGATCTTGCGCTCCCTTCGCTCGGACACCCAGCCGGGGAACTTCATCTGGTCGAGGTCCTCCTGATACCACTTCATCATGGCCTCGCCCTTTCGTAGCGCCTGAAGGTACTTGAAGCCCGAATGCTCGCCATTTCCGATACGCTGCCCAAAGATCTTGGCACTGGCCTCGAAGGCCGGCCGCAGGCTGCGCAGGTACACCGCCATGTTGCTTGCTTCTTGTTCGATTTGCGATTTCGATTGCCTCCGCAGACTGCGTCTTCCAAGAAATGAAAGGAAAAGAATTATTTCTTTCCGCGTTGCTCTTGCCCTCTCTCCAAGCCAGATGAGTGCGCTGAACGCGGCGGCAGGTCTCCACGCCCGCGAAGCCATGTCCAGCGGCCTCGCGGCGACGGAGCAACGAAGAAGTTTCAACGAAGAGGGAACGGCCGTCGTGCGGTCATGTGGCCGCTTGCCCCCCCCCCGCGGTCACATTTCCACCGAATAAGTGAGAGTACTCTACTCTAACAACATCCGCTATGGTGTAGTCGGTAACATTTCTGGTTTTCACCCAGGCGCCCCGGGTTCGATTCCCGGTAGCGGAACATCAAACTTTTGTCTTGCTAGTTTGTTTATTGGACTTGTTTTGTTTGGCCGGGTTCTTCGCTCTTGCTCTTCTTCTTTTTAGTAGGGCTCGAAGGGGCAGTGGCCCTTGACGCGCGCCTTGCGTTCCTGGATGGCGTCGATGATCTTGTCGAAGTTGGCGATCTTGCCGAGGAAGAAGGCTTCGGTGATCCTCTCCACCAGCGTCACGCGCGGAAGCGTCTCCGCGCCACTCTGGTCCACGTCGTAGAGCCTGAGGTGTGTGACAGTGATTTAGTCGCCAACGTACATGGCTAGCACACACCATCGCTCACACCGCACACACCGCACACGGGCAAAGGTCACGTATGTGGTACCTGCAGATCTCCTTGAGGCATGCGAGATCGAACCGGCGCAGGATGTGCAGGAACTCGATCCGTGTCAAGGTTGGAGAGTCATGGCGCAGGTCCCGAAGTCTGTTGCAACCACCACCACCACCACGACACACGCGAAAGCGCGGGAGGGTGAGACACCACGAAAACAACAAAAACGACCTATGGGGAGCAGTCGCGTACATGAAGGTCTCTTGCGGCCACTGGAAGCGTTGGTCCAACAGCGCGTCGAGGTGCTGGACGTAGAACCTCTCCTTCCAGGTCTTCGGCTCCTTCTCGCGCTCCTCCTCTTCCTTGGCGGCGACTCTGGCCTTGTCCTCCGCCTGGAGGGCCGAAAGCTTGGAGTAGGGGGGAGAGAGGGTCAGTCAGTGCAAAAAGCGCAGACGCGCCACCAGAGTTCAGAAGAAAGGTGGGGAGGGGCTCACCCTAGCGAGGATGTCCATGAACGGAGGGAACGGCAGACCGAGCACTTGGGCATCCCTCAGCCTCGCTTCGAGCAGAGTCCTCTCCTCCTCTTCGATCAGCGTCTCGCTGAATGAGGGCGATGTCGGGGCGCTGTGGTGCAGCTTCTGCTTCTTGGCCGGCGGAGGACTGCTCTCGTCCTTGTCGGCGCTCTCCTTCGTGCCGGCCTCGGCCTCGGCCTCTTTCCTTTTCGTTGTCGTCCTTCCCCTCCTTTTCCTTTCTTTCTCTTTCTCCTCCTTTTCTTTCTCTCTCTTTCCTCCTTCTCCTCCTCTTCCCTTCGCCTCTTTCGCAGGGTCTCTTCAGCCACCTTGAACTCCTCGGGCCACGTCCGCTCGTACAGGTCCTTCCACAGCAGGTCTTCCTTCAGGAATTCTGAGAATGGAATGGGTGCACACACATGTGAGTCGTTAGGCATGACCGCGAACGTGTGTGTGTGTGCGCGCGCGCGGTGTGTGGTGTGTGTGGGCACGAACCACTAAAGTGTCGAGAGACGGTCGCCAAGTGGGCAAAGTCGGAAGGGCCGAGGTAGGAGATGATCTTGAGGATCATTTCCTCCGGCAGGACGTCGAACAGGCCGACGTCCTTCTCCAGCTGCCACTCGACCACCGGCGTGGGCTGCTCCGGAGGAATCCAGGGCTGCAGCTTCTCCTGGTGGTCGAGCAGGCGCCCGATGAGATCGGCCTTGCGGCCCGCCCGCCTGAGGTTGTGCTCCAGGCACATCTGCTTCAGCACGGGCACCGTCTTCAGGTGGAGGATGCTGGCATCCACCGCGCGCTTCTCCTCTCTCGAGCTTGCGCGCCATCCTGTTGATGAGAAAGCCAAGCCAAGCCAAGCATCATATGTGAGACACTGCCACCATAGCAAAGACTGTAGAACGGATGAGCGGCGACGAACCTGGTGGACCCCAGCGGCTGCAGGCTTGCAGACGCTTGATGACCTGCTGCTTGTCCTCTTCCTGGAGTTGCGACACGCCGGCCAGCTGGTAGAGGGACGTGACGATGCCGCGCGGGGTGAAACACGACAGATGCGTGTATTTGGACCCTGGGCAAATGCCCAGCAGCCCATAGTCCAGCACGTCGGTCAATCTCAGCTCGCCTTTTGGTGCAAATAGGGGAGAGAGTCAGAATCCATCGAATGCATCATCTACAACCTCCTTGTTGGAGAAAAAGCTGTTAATGAGGAAACGAGTAGAGGGCTCGTACCTTCGAGAATGGACTTCTTGCATTTCTGGCATTTGGCAACTGAGTTGGGCGAGTAGTGGATGTTGTACTCTGGCCTTCGATCGTTGGGAGCAGGAACGTAGCGTTGTGGTCGCTGGCGCACGTGCTGACGATGGAAGTGCTGCTGCTGGAAGACGTACATGAGGCGCGGGAGGAAGCCAAAGGGATCGCCGTGGAAGAAGCCCTCCCCGTCGGAATCCGAATCGGAAAACAAATCCGAATCGTCTGTGTCCATGTCGTAATAGCCATACCCGCCTGGTGGACCGTAGACAGGCCCGCCGAGCGAATCGTCGCTGTCTAGGTCCGACTCAGAGGTTGAATCCAACAGATAGATGGGATGGGGATCCATGTGTGTGCGGTTGTGTGCAGTTTTTGTTGGAATGCTGCTCTCCTATCGAAAAAGATTTTGTCCATCGATTTCTTTCTCTTTTCTTCTTCCCTGTCGACCAACATCATTTCTAGGGAAACTAAAGAGAAATTGAAATTTCGACATGAATGCGAAGTATTTTAATCTTGCCTCTGCTTCTTCTGTCCGGAGGGTGCGTGTATTACATTCGTTTTGGTCGACGAGGAGACACGAGTGTGAGACCAGACGCTCAGTGGGTGAACTGGTCGAAGACGTAGGGCGGGAGGTAGCCCTCCACCACCTTCCGGTCCATCTTGCTGTACCGGCAAAACTCCTCCAGGAACAGCAGGATGTTGACCACCTCCACCGGGTAGTCCTGCGTGCGTCCCTTATCATCTCTGGTTGTGTGTGTGTGTGTGTGTGGTGTGTGTGTGTGTGTGTGTGTGTGTGTGTGTGTGTGTGTGTGGTGCGTAGGTTAGCATTGACAAGGGAGATAAGAAAAGGGAGGTAGACGAGTACCCGCCGACGGTGATGTTGATGAGGCTCCGCACGTACTGGCCGAGGTAGGCCAGGAACTGCTGCGTGTAGACCGAGTGGAACTGCTTGAGGAGGGTGATCACGCCCACCACAAACGGGATGGCGTCCACCGAGCCCTTGTCCTTGGGCTTCTGCGCCATGATGGTCTCTGCAATGGTGCCATGCAGATACGTGTCGTGTCGTGTCGTTGGTTGTGTGAGCGTAAAAGGACGGCAGAATGCCGCCGGAGGCGAACGTTTCAAACGTTTCTCGAGCAGCGACGTACTGAGCGATCGGTTGTAGGTGAACTTGGGCATCTGCGAAGCGACGAACAGGAACATAAGGACCGGGAAGCCCTCCAGCGAAGAGGTGGTGATGTAGATCTGCGCACGCAACGCGCAACACGCACACATCGCTGGTGATGAGCCCATCATTTTGCTGACAACGCGGTATTTGAGTGGGAGGCCGCGCACCTTGGTGTAGGGGTCGTGGATACCGGCGGTTTCGAGATACCTGGTGAGCTCGGACAAGAGCGGGTTGTCCTCGCCCGGGTACGGCTTCTCGGGGCTACAACCAAAGTCAAGACACCGATGAGTGGCCGTGGCCAACATACGACACTGCAGACACGACACGACACGACACGACACGACACGACACGACACGACACGACACGACACGACACGACACACACACACACACACACACACACACAAGGAGCGGAGGACGTACTTCTGGTAGTGCTGCTGGATGTCGGAGATGAGGGCGTTGTTAATAACAGTCAGGTTGAGGCTGAGCGAGTTCGAGTCCAGCTTGGTCAGCCACTGCGCATATCATCGCCCGGCCGAAGACGAAACAAACAAAACAAAACAAACAACACACAATGAGTCGAGTGTGAAACACCGGGCACTGGGTTTGCATATTTGGGGGGGGGGGCAATGGGGCACGAAAGAATGAGCGTACGTTCAGGGCGTTGGCGATTTGCCGTCTGAGAAGCTGCATCTGACCGATCCTCGAGGTGGTGCTCATGAAAATGGGCCAGAGCTTGCTGGTGTAGTTCACCGCAGTGTTGTAGAGCTTGACGGTGTTGGTGGGGAGCGTGGAGGTGGGGCTCAGCTCCTTGGTGAAGTCGGTCAAGAACTTGGACATGTTCTTGTCCATCATCTTGCGCACCGTGGCCACGAACGTCTGCATATGTGTGACAATCAAACATCAGTAAAAACTCGCGCGTGTCGTGTCGTGTCGTGTGTCGTGTTTCGTGTCGTGCGGACACGAACCTGGAGTTCCTTGACGATCATGAAGCACAGGAGACGGTCGAGGCCTGACACGCCGAACACACCCACGCTCCGCAAGAGAAGATCGAAAGTGCGAATGCCGATGAGCTCTCGGCCGTCCTTGTCGTACCACGCCGACATCTGGTCCAGGAAAATTGTGTTGTTGTAGTTGGTGTGCTGCAGCAGCGCCCGCGCGAGTCTACACACCGCACGACACGACACGAGACACACCGCCGCACACACAGAGACATTATTTAGTCAAGGGCGAGATTGGGAGTGGGAAATGGGGGGGGGAAGGGGGAGTCGGTACCGTCCGATGAAGTTGACAGAGTTATCTACAGACGGGAAGCGGGGGATGGGGATGGCGGTGCTCTGGTACATGGACTGGTGGTCGTAGACCTTGGTCTTGAGGAAGGAGTTGCACTCCTGCTCGACGTTGTAGTTCACGATGCGCGAGAACTCCTCCTGCCAGATCTTCAGGCCGTAGATGTTCACGTAGTCCTGGATGTCTGTTGCGTGTCGTGCGTGTGCGTGTGCGGTGGTGCGTGTGCGTGTTACCATCAGCGGGTGCCAGCGACGGTGGGGAATCGTAAGGGAGGCGTACACTGGAAGGACCGAGAGAAGCCGTCGAGCTGCGAGGCCAGCTGCTTCAGCCGGGATTCGAACTCGTCGATCTTGCCCGTCTTGAAGATGAGGATCTTGTCCATGGCGCTGGCGAGCTTGAACACGAGCTCCTTGCGGATGCCCTCCTCGAGGAGCTGCTTGGGCTCCACCTTGATGATGCCCACGAGGGTGGTCTGCATGGCCAGGATGCCCTCGGTGAACTTGGAGACGCCGTGGGTGAGCTTGGCCAGCTGGTTCCTCTCGTCGAGCTGCGCAAAGTCCTTGAGCTCCACCTTCTCGAGCCTCGTGGGCAGCTCCTTGATCTTGTGCGTCTGCAGCTCGATGATGTCGTTGAGGATGAAGAACATGCTCTTCGGGATAATCTCCATCACCTGCACCGAGCCACCATAATGTCAGTAGGATCGACGACAATGACACACACACACGACACACACACGACACACACGACACACCACACACACACGACACACACGGCAAAGGGATGCATACGCGTCTGACGAACAAGACCAGCTTGCCGGAATAGAACTCGGAGACGCTGTACAAGTCGGGACTGTTGGACTGCACGATACGCACGAGCGGCAGGTCGAGAATGGAGGCCAGCTTGAGGAAGGTCGCGCGGAGCTTGATCGTCGACGATGGATCGCTGCAGTCGTAAAAGAAGCCAAACCAATTCATGAGCTCGCCGGTGCGTAGATCGACGTGTGTGTGTGTGTGTGTCGAGTCAGGAGGGGAGGGGCGTACCGCTTGATTCGCTCCTGCATGAGGGGAATGTACTCGTCAATGAGCTGGAAGCCGTAGGAGATGTCGGCCACGGAGCTCATCATGACGAGGTACTGCTCCTTGATGTTCACGATCTTGAGCATCTGCGCCAGCAGCTCGCGGGTGTCCGACAGGAACTGCTTGACTTGGAGCGACGACTCGATCTAACGTGATCGTTATGTGTTGCGTGTGTGTTACATGTGTCGTGTGTCGTGTGTCGTGTGAGCCGATTTTCACGTGCGACACACGGCAGAGACACGAGGCTGTTCTCTGCGTACCTGCTCGAACTGTTCGACCTCCTTCAGCGCCTCCATGAGCTGCTGAATCTTCCTGCCGGCGGCGGTGGAGTCGTGGTAGTCCAGGTCCTTGATCTTGTCGCCAATCGTGACGAACCACTTCTGCAGGTTCTCGTTCTTCTTGACGCGCGTGAGCGGCTTGTCGCCGGAGAAGTACTCGCCTAGGATCGCACGCTCGCGCACATGAGCTCGAAGCACATATATACACACACGACACACACACACATGTGGCGGGCAGGCGCACCCAGTTCGCTCATACGCTCGGCGCCCTGAGCGCGGCTCTCGTTCCACTTGTCGTCCTTGTCGTCGAGGAGCTTCTGGAACAGGTTCTTGAGCATGAACTCGAGCTGTGCCACGTTGAGCAGAAGCAGCAACACGCCGTCGAGCTTGATTTCTGTGTGTGTGTGTGATGTTAGAAGAAGAAGAAGAAGTAGAAGAAAGAAGAACGAAGAAGAACGCACCGGTGAGCGTGATCACCTCCCGCAGCTTCCTGTTTGTGGTGGTGTAGTGCAGCATCAGCCAACGCAGCGTTGTGTTGGTGTGCCGGAGGCAGTTCATCAGCTGCCCGTGGCTGCTCAGCACGAACTCCTCGTTGAGCACGCCCTACGTAGAGAGAAAGAGAGAGAGAGAGTAGAGAGAGGGTCAGGAATGACAACAATGCGCGGTGCTGAGTGCCATGCAAAAGCCAACGACAGGGCGAGGCGGCCGGTACCTCGGTGAGGTAGTGCTGGATCTCCTGCTGCAGCTTGGGAATCTTGTCCCAGTGCCGCTTGGCCAGGATCTTGACGTTGGGGATGCCGATGGTGTTGTTGAGCGCGGTCATGGCGGCCGGGTAGCGCTCCCACTCGAGCGACAGATCGACTGCGTGTTACAACGCGGTCAGCACACGCAATATGAGGCAATCATTGCAATGATTTTCCTCCCTCTTGGTCCGACTTGTGTAGCGAGCTGACGGTTTCAAAGAGCGAACGGCGCACCTGTGTAGCCCAGGAAGAAGGAGATGACCCAGTTGTCCGCAAAGTGCTTGTCGACGATCTCACGCATGGAGGCCTTTCATATGAGAGCGCAACGTTGCGAGGGCGGCGGGTGAGTTAATTTGTGTGTGTGCGTGTGTGTGGTGTGTGTGTCATATGTCGTGTCGTGTCGTGTCGTGTCGTATAGTCGTGTGTGTCGTACCTGTTCGCTGCTCAGGAGCTGAGGCGCGAAGTAGAGGATCACGTAGAGCATGGCGGCCTGAGTGGCGAGCGCGGTGGAGCGGTGCTCGGGCAGCGGGTAGCACTGCATCTGCGAATAGATGTCGTCCGACCTGAGGCGGCCGATGATCATCTCCACCACCGTCGCCGGCAGAGGGAACCTACAGAGCGCAACGCGACTCTTGTGTGTCAGCAATGGTGGCGCACACCACCTTTCGCTTCGCGAAGGAGAGAGAGAGAGAGAACGAATACGGTACCGCTTGAAGTAGTCCTCGGGGTACTTGGGCGGCTTGGGCTGGCCCGGCACGTAGCCGGTGTTGCGGCACAGCTTGCACACCTCGTCGATCAGCGGCAGGTCGGTGTGGCCCTGCGCGAGTTGAAGAGAGAAGTCGATGCACCACGCGCATGAGCCGACCATGGCCTCCCTCTGCCCGGGCAACAAGGAGGAGGAGGAGAAGAAGAAGGTGATGAGGGAAGAGGCGGCGTGCCTTGTAGCGCAGGTAGGAGATGAGCATGCGCTCTCGCGCCTCACCGCCGATGCGCTGGTCGAGCAGGAAGAGCATGATGCCGTACAGGTAGACGGCCTCGGCGAAGAGCTGCTGGCCGTCCTGGTTCAACAAGACGGCCTGGTGATGGCAGAGGAGAAGGAGGAATAGAGAGTAAGAAGACGGTGCACTACAGAGCCAGGGGTGCAGAGGAGACGCACCTCGAGAGTCTGCTGGATGAACACGCCCTCCTCCATGTCTTCGATGTATTTGAGGAAATCGGTGATGTACTTGTAGACGCTTTCAAACAGCTGGTAGAAGCGGCGCAGAATGTCGATGTGGGCATCGCGAAATTCGAGATCGAGATCACTCAGCTCAGGGTTGGTCTCAATTCGGGTGTCGTAGAGTTCCTGATTCTTCAAATACTTGAAATCGAAGATTATGTCATCATAGGGGCGCTTGGTGACGCTCTTCCGCTTGTCGAGGGGTGGCACGATGAAGGGGGGCGGGATGTTATCCGATAGACGCAGCAGTTCGGCGACAATCGCATTTCCTCGGCTCACCAGCCGCAGGATCGTCTGTCCGGCCACATTGTTCTCGCTCAGGAAATCCTCGCCCTGCATTCGTTCCTCCTCTGCTAGCAGCAAGAACTTGCTCGCGTCCGGTACGTAATCTCACTCCACACTACTGGTCCGGCCACCAAGTGTTGGTTTGCGAGTCTCGCACGAACATTCCCACCATCGCCGCCGGAAATTACCCAAAATGAATACATTTTATTTATTTATTTGTAATTTTGTGTAATTATACAAAATAAAAGATAAAAGATGAAGTAAAAGATGTGCCGCGGAGGAGACGAGTCGAGCCCTCTGGGATGGTGAGGACGCGACTGATTATTCCTGAGCAATCGCTTTTGGAGATCTACAGAGGTTGCGTCGTCATTGTGGTTGCTCGCCCCATAAAGACTCGGCCACTACGCACACCCCGTCTGCCTCCGTGCACACACTCTTGCGCACGCACACACGCCACCACCGTGGCCTCTACCAAGTTCGTCACAACGACCATCACCGACAATCGTCACAAAGGCCCATTGAACAAGAGGCACATTTGGGGCCGGGAGTGAGCGTTGCCGCCACGGTTATGGGACAGTGCCGGAGTTCTGCCCTCTCGAGACAAGAAGAAGACGAACGAAGCAAAGAGAGAAGGAGCAAGACGAGCAAGACGAAAGAAGCCTATGAGAGACAACTGGTGGTCTTTATGTGCCTGGTGGGGTGAGCTTGCCATAGCGCAGTTGTCGCCAGAGCAACACGAAGGCCTGCAGCGCGATTGGGAAAGCGCTGGCATTTTTTTGCACGGTGAGTCTTGCTGTGTGCGTGTGCGGCGAGCATGTGGTGCGTGTGAACGAACGCGTACCAGGTAGGATAGAAGAACCATATCTTGCTCCGGCCGCCCATCATGGCCTGGAGAGCCAAGTTCAGACCGAGCACCACGCACAGGGGAGCAACAATGCGTAGGTAAAAGTACCGTGGCCCATGCTCCGACGAACGCGTCGCCCTTGCGCTTGATCACCTCGGCAGCGGCATCCAAGAGGATGGGGAACCTGTACAGTAGGCGCAGAATCAGGAAGGACCTACACAAAGACACGCACACGTTAGACACGACCGTCATTGGCACATGCAACACGCACGCGACACACAACACACGACACATATACGCAGAGGCGAAGAAGAAGAAGAAGAAGGGTCGTACAGCCAAAAGTCCCACCCGAAGGCCTTTCTCCATCGCTGTTGGTACACCTTGAGCCGCCCCGCGGTGAGGTCTCCCTCTCGGAAGGCCTCCACCAGGGTCTCCGCTGCGATCTTGGCCGCCTCCATCGCGAAATGGATGCCCCCTGCCCGCCGCGCGGTTACGTGTGAAGGTGGTATCGAAACGGTGAGCGCACCAAGCCCAAAGGCGGGTTACACGGCTTCGTCGCACGCAAACAGCACCGCACAGCAACACACACACACACACACCACACACAGCAACACACACACACCTCCGGTCAGCGGATCGACTTGTCCCGCAGCATCGCCGACCACCAGGAAGTGGTTGCCGTAGCTCCTCGACACTCCACCGACGCGCATCGGTGCAAACTGGGACCATAGAGCTCCGCGGTCAGTTCTCACGATTGCGTCTACAGTAGCTGTGGCGTGTGTGTGTGTGTGTGTGTGTGTGTGTGTGTGTGTGTGTGTGTGTGTGTGTGTGTGTCAAGGTCCGCACCTTGCACGGGGTGACGGCAACGTCCGGCCCGAGCGCCTGCTTGATGTACGGATCGGTCTCCATGTAGTCGCTGTAGGCCTCCTGCAGCTCTTCGACCGTGCGGCCCTTCCAACGGGACGTCGAGGGGAGCGGGATGAAGTAGCAGCACATGTTGAGGAAGTCCTCCAGCTCGTGGAACACCACGAAGAAGCCCGGCAGCAGCTGTTCCGAGTAGAACGACACGTGGTCCGCTGCCGGGAACGCGTGGGTGCCGGCCTGTAGCAGCACCAAGCCAAAAATCGTGAGAAGGCTGTGGCCGCGTGTGCGTGTGCGTGTGCGTGTGCGTGTGCGTGTTGTGCAATTGAGAAAGAGAGCTGACCTTGGCGAAGGAGCGACAGCAAAACGTGTTCGGCGGTGAGTTTATGACCCCGAGCTGGCGCGCTATCTCTGATTTGGCTCCATCGCAGGCCACCAACGCTCGCGCCCTGTACACATCTGCTCGAGGCGCGCGTTGGGAAGAGGAGAGGCCTAGTCAGCCGCGGGTCTGCCTGCTCAGACCGACCCATCGAATGCGATGCGTACAGTTCTCGCCGTGCGTGTCCATGGTGTCGAGCACGATGGTCCAGAGCTCGTCCTCCGGGTTCCACTTCACGGACTACATGAAGGTGAACACGCACGCACCACACACGACACGCACGACACATGATGAGGATGAAATGAAAGAAGCAGGCCATCGCGGAGAGAGCGTACTTTGACAGTGAAGCCGTCCAAGAGCGTGGCACCGGCGCTCTCGGCTGCGTAAGCGATCTTTTCGTCGAGTATGATCCTCTGTACGGAGAGCAGCCGCTCGCCGGTGGTCAGCTTTCCGATGAAGCTCAGCCCCGACGGGCTCACAAAACCTCCCGAGTTGCCCTGCACCAAACACACACACCAACCAACGTCAAGTCTCTAATCGCGTGTGCCGTGTGCCGTGTGCCGTGTGCCGTGTGCCGTGTGCCGTGTGCCGGTCTTGTGAGGTGGAGGTTGACGTTACCCATCGGCCCTCTTTCTCGAGCACGATTTGCTGAAGTACGCCCATTTCCTCCAGATGCTTCTGTGCCAGAGGCGGGACCACGTCTCCGCACACCTTGTCGTGCGGGAAGCGCTGGCTATCGATCAGGATCACGCTGCACAAGCCACGCGCGTGGCACATCACGAATGAATGACAACACATGTCAGCAGCCACTCGTGCGCCGCCGAACAGAAACCGGTTTCCCTGCGGCAGGGCAGGGCAGGGCAGGGCAGACGAACCTGTGGCCGGCTTTGGCCAGGTGGTAGGCACAGGTCGCCCCGCTTGGTCCTGCGCCCACGACGCACACGTCCACGATGCCCTCCTCCTCCTGCGACCACCATTCAATGATAATCAATTAATAAATAACAATACTATTTACATAAATATTTATAATATAATGAGTGGTACCTCGTGGGGAGGGATGCAGGATTTGCGAAAGGCGGCGCGGTACCACCGCCATAGGGAGTAGAGGCAGAGAACGCCACCGCCCCACATCGCAAAGTGCACCAGCTGCCGCCTGCGCAATTGCTTCACGAATTCGATGATTCGCCACACGAGGCGCTTGAGGAAGAGCGGCAGTCTTATCGATGAAGCAGAGGGCGAAGAAGAGGAGGAAGTCGCAGTCGAGGCAGCTGTTGCAAAGTAGCTGCCCACACCCCCTCCTCGGCTCGTCTGCTCCACCTTGGCGGCCTGCTGCGCCCGCCTCTTCTTCCACTCCAAGTAGCGGCCCAGCAGGGTGGTCGTCGTGCCCTCTGCAGCTGTCCCTCGGGCGCCACCCCCTCGCACCGCGCCCACAGCTCTACCTCGGGACCCCTCTCGGGTTCGGCCCATCCTCTTGCTCCTCGCCAGACTCAAAGCTTCAACTAAAAACTGTCCCGAAATGAAATAATAGTTTATAAATGATAAATATTATTTATTTACTATTTATTTATTTTAATGATGCAAGAGAGAGATGAAGCATCATGTTTGTAAAAGACGGAGACCTGTGTCTGTCAGACGTTTGTCTCCAAGTGTGATATGTACAGTGCAATGAACCAGCCAAGAGAGTATGCGGGGCGGTGTAGTGCGGCGTCGCTCAGAGCGCCGCTTTCTTCTGGGGAATGTAGCACACCATCTGTACTTCCCTGTGTGCAAGCAAGTAAGGAGGAGATGAGAAGGCTCTTCTCGGACCAACATCACTGCATGAGGACGAATAGCCAATGATGCTGTTGTGGAGAGAGAGAGAGAGAAGGCTTGATAGCTGGCGTACTTCTTCGTGAAGCCGGTGCGCTCGTAGAAGGGCACGTTCTTCTCCGAGCAGTCCAGTATGATCTTGTAGCAGCCCAGCCTCTCGCCAATGTCCCTCAGGTGCTGAATCAGCCTATGTTGCGCACAACACAATGATAGACGTTGGACATCGATATGACACCACCGCGCAGCTAAGCTGGAGTGAAGCATTGTACTTGAGGCCAAGATTCTTGCCGCGGTAGGTGGAGTCGACGACGACGTCTTCAATGTGCCCGCACTGCGACAAGAGAAGAGTAGAGGGGTGGGCACGGCTTGTGTGATAAAACGTTCACGGGGAGCGCGAGGCGAGTAGAACAGAGCGTACCGAACCGCAGTCGTGAATGATCTTCTTCTCCACCATGAGCGTGGCACAGCCGGCCACCTGCCTCTTGGCCAGGTCCTCGCACACCACTACGAAGTAGGTGTCGCCTTGTTGCCTGAACTCGTTGAAGCGGCGCGCGAACTGCTCCTTGGTGACGTTGCCCACTTCGGTCAGCTGGCCCAGCACACGACAGATTCCTGGCGCAATCAAGAGATCAATCGGCAGCAGATGATTTGAGCACCAATCAATTCAACGACTTGGCATCTGTGCGGAGGCTCACCTTTCTCGTAGTCGCTCAGCTCGAGCAGGCGAAACACAAAATCACCATCTTGAACGGGGCGGAACACAGCCGACATTGTTAGAGTAGTTGGTAGTGCTGACGATAGACTTATGACTGACGTATGCCGTTGTGCGGGTTCTTGAAGAAGAAGTAGTGGCCTTGGCCGCTACAGACACGTTGCGGCTCACGCTACGAGTACAGTCCCAGGCTTACCGTTCTAGCGTCCTGTTCACTGGATTTTCTGGACCACAGCTACAAAGAAATTAAAGAGAAAATGATTTCTCTTCGATAGCACAGTGGTTGTGACTGGCCAGACCGAAGGAGCAATGCGCAGCTTGTGTCAACACCAAAGCGGTGGCATTGGAGAGCGCAAGAGGCTTGTCTGATGATGCAAGTACAAAGACTTGAGTTTGATGAGACACTCTTGAACAGGCACCTGACACAAATTTGGTGAAAAGAAATGACAAAAAATACAATTTCTTTACTCGTACCCGTTGGCGCTGAACTGTTAGTTCGGCGGCTACAGATTTCATTGACCACTACAGGAGCTCATCTAATAGAAGAATCCGCGACGTACCTAGACTTTGGTGGTGACTAGCGCCAACGTAAATCACCAATAACCTCTTCATCCCCCCTTTCTCATCGTGGGGGCGAGTCATTCAAGATGAAGAAGTTCTTTTCATTCGGAAAGAAGAAAAAGAAGGAGAACGATTTGAAGGAGAAGGAGGAGGAGGGCTATGATGCGGTGGATGACGATTACAACGAAGATGGAGACGATGACACCTCCGCCCCTGCCCCCGCCCCCGTCACCCGGCGCGATTCGCGGGCTCGCTTCTCCACCTCCCTCCCCAGCGTTCATGGCGGAAGCGGCGAGAGCGTGCCCACCACCCAGCACGGGAGGTCATCCGGGCTGGCCACCAGCTCGGCCGCCGGCTCCTCGCCTCCATCTTCATCTTCATCTTCATCTCCCGCTACGCGCCCCCACGCATCCACCGTCTCCCACTACGCCTCCTCCACATCGAGCGCTGGCCACGCTGCGACGTCTGCAGCGGCTGGCACCAGCTCGCCACCACTGGTCACCAACAAGCCCTTCGAGGGCCTGGGCATCGGCGGTGCCCAGGCCGGCGACCGCAGCTCGATCGGCCGCGGCAGCGTGGAGCGCAAGGTGGCCGCCTTCTCGGCGTTCCAGGCCGCCCAGGCACCCGCGCCCGGGCCGAACGCCACCACCAAGGAGCGGTCGGTGACGATGAACTCCACCAGGCCCGGCTCCAATCAGGTGCCCTCTGGTGGCGGCGTGGCCGGCGCGGTGGCGAGCGCGGCCGCTGCTTCGGGGGCGCCTCGCCCGACGCGCCGCGTCGAACTGCAGCGCACACGGTATGCACGCTTAGAGCCGCGTCGTGTGATTGTTTGATTGATGGATTAACTCACTCTTTGTTCATCACCGCACCGAGTGCAGATCGCACAGCCACAAGAGGGAGGAGTTGAATTCGAACTCGAGCATGCCCTCCAAGGAGAAGATCGAGCTCTTATTCAGCAAGTACCTGGTAACGATGATTCTCGCCTTTCCCTTAACGCGTGTGCTGCGTGGCCTCTCTCTCTCTCTCTCTCTCTGTGTGTGTGTGTGTGTGTGTGTGTGTGTGTGTGTGTGTGTGTGTGTGTGTGTGTGTGTGTGTGGCGTGTCGTGTTGTTGGTATTTGTAAAGCTTAGCGTTCGCGTCTGGCTCAATTGTTTACACAGAGGGAACAAGATCTGCCGAGAGAGAAGAAGGACGTGATGAAGAAGTGGTCGTCGCTCGACAAATGGAAGCAACTCCAACAGCAGGAGCAAAAGGAAAAGGACACGGAGCACGAAGCCAAAGTACGTTCTGTCGTACCACTACGAACACTCTTCGTTGGGTGGTGCCATGCTGGTTTTGTGCGACCTTCAATGACGGTTTCTTTGCCAATCGGTTCGCAGAAACAACTCCTGGCGTCCGGCGTACCGGCTGGGACGCCACAGGTCTCTGGGCCGATCGCAGTGGTGCACGTCAACGCGGGCCTGCCACCACTGACGGCGACCCCGACCGTGTCGGCACCGATCATGGTCACAAAACCGAGCGAGCACGTCTCGACGCCGACCTCGCCCAGGAAGGCTGCCGCTCAGACCAGCGCCCCACCACGTACGTCATTATCGTCGTCGTCGTCGTCGTCGTCATTTTTATTTGAGTTTGAGCTCACAGTAAACGTCATCGTCATCGGCCACCGGTTATACCACACCCGCAGGATGGAAGATCATGGAGTCGCAGGCGTTCTACATCAGCGCGCTACAGACCGAGTTCACACTGCGGCTCGTCGAGGCCCTGGCGCAGACGCTCAGCCGGCAGGCAGTGACTTGGTGCGTACACCAACCACCAAAATGCTGCATGACGCAAGTGACTTCATCATCTTACCTTCAATCAACCTCTGCAGGCAGCACCAGTTCGAGAAGCTCGGCGGATTCGCCTTCATGCTCAAGAACCTGGCGGACCTGGAGAAGAAGACCGTGTACGTTCCTTAACCCAACCTATCTTGTTCACTCGAATTGGTACAATCGACCACTTGTGTGACCCTCCTTCTCCTTTCGTTGGTGGTTCATGTTATCTGCAGGCGCACCGACGAAGAGAAGCTGCTCATCTCGGCCTGCATCAGCTGCCTCAAGGTCGTGATGAACAACAAGGTACTTCAACCCTATAAAAATATATTTCTTTCTTTCTATATTTCTATTTCTATTTCTATTCTATATTAACGTATAATTTAATAATACAACTTTCATATACTAATTATTATCTGCACTGTTATTGATGTTTTCTTTCATACTAACACAATCAAAAAACAATTCAATCATCGCCAGTACGGTCTCGGCATAGTGATGCAGAAGGAGGGCGCGCTCAAAACGATCGCGCTCGGTCTCGACCACCCCGACGTGAAGACCAAGATCATGGTCCTCGAGCTCCTCACCACCGTATGCATGGTGCCCCCGAATGGTCACAGGCACGTGCCCCCTACCCCCCCGATCCCGCACCACCGCTCCGATCGCACACGCGTGGCGCTGACTGCCTCATTCTCTTCAGGCTGATCGTGGAGGCCATGACCAACTTCAAGGCCGTCAAGCGCGAGAAGGCGCGGTTCAATCAGCTGCTGGTCATTCTCAAGAGGTCGAAGAGCGTGGAGCTCAAGACGAACGCGCTGGGCCTGGTCAACGCCGTGGTGAACGTGCCCAGCGACATCGACCAGAGGATGCACTACAGGAACGAATTCATCCGATTGGGCCTCAAGCGCATCCTTAAGGTAACGTTACCTACCGTCCGATTGGCGCTCCCGGTTGTTATGCAACGTTGCATGTCATTTGGGGCCACTCACCACTTACGAACTTTTAACCAACCAACCGCAACCGATTGCAGGCCCTCAAAAAGGAGCAGTTGCCGGAGGACCTGGCCACTCAAATCGAGGTGTACGACGAGGAATCGCGAGCCGACCAGGAGGAGCTCGACCAGCGGTTCTCGGACATGGGCGTCGATGATATCGAGTACGTTCTAGCCCACATCGTGCCATGCCTGCCCCTTTCCTGCGTAGTTTCCCACCCAACTCACACACACACCACACCACACACATCGCACACACAACACGCACGCATGAACCGCGCAGCGACATGCACCAGGTCTTCACGGCGCTGAGCAAGTCGGCCAAGGCGGCGGGCCTCGCCCCATCGCTGCTCTCCCTGATGCGCCACCTGTGCCTCTTCCCCGTGGGCGAGGAGGGCGGCGTCCGGGCCTACGTGCTCGCTGAGCGGCTGGTCCAGCAGGTGGCCCTGCAGAAGAGCAACATCGCGCTGGACGAGGTCGGAGGTATGAAGTGGCGGCCGCTTCGCTTCACAGTCGATCAGCTCATCGATCTCACCTCCAACGCGTCGTCTTGTGTGTGTGTGTGTGTGTGTGTGTGTGTGTGTGTGTGTGTGTGTGTGTGTGTGTGTGTGTGTCAACGCTCCGCTAGGCGTACATGTGAACCTGGAGGAGCTCTCGCTCGCGGTCAAGGGCGCGAGCGATAGCGTGGCGCTCAACAGGAAGCTCGAGGCGCTGCAGGCCAAGATGGCCGAGTCGAAGAAGAAGAAAAAGCAGAAGGACCAGCTGATCATCGAGAAGGAGGCCATCATCCGGCTCATGGACAAGCAGCGCCAGGCCGAGCGGGCCAAGTTCGAGGAGCAGCTGAAGCAGAAGGACGTTGAGGCCAAGGAGAAGATGGACGACGTGCTCCAGCAGCGCACCGCCGAGCACCTGCGCGAACGCGAGCAGTGGGTCCGCGAGCGCGATCAGTGGGAGCGCGAGCGCAAGGACTGGGCGCACGACCGCAACGAGTGGACCCGCGGGCGCGACGAGTGGACCCACCAGCGCGACGAGCTGGAGCGCGAGAAGGAGGAGCTGCAGAAATCGCGCAGGAAGCGCATGAGCGGCAGCACCTACCAGAAGCCCGCAGGCAGCGCCGGCGGCGAGGTCGGTGACGCGGCGGGCGCCGAGGCCGAAGCGCCGCCGCCCCTGCCCGCCAGCCCGCGCTCGCGCCCGCGCCAGACCAACAACAACAGCCCGGGCGTGCAGCGTCAGCGGCGGAGCGGGTCCTTCATCGGCGGCAGCGACGGCGCCTCGCCCTCGCGGAGCCCGGTGCTGCCGCGATCCGGGCGCGGCTCGCTCATCGGCGCCAGCGGTGACGACGGACCGCCTCCGCTGCCGCCTACGCCGGCCAAGGCCCAGCAGCGCGCCTCGGGCGACGACGAGCTGCCGACGCCGGCCAAGGTGCAGCTCGACGCGCTCGGCTTCCCCGTCGACGACCGACCGCCGAGCCTGCCGCCCACGCCCGGCCGATCGTCCAGCAATGCCGACAGTCCGGCGCCGAACAACATCGCGGCCTATATCGCCAGCGATGAGGAGTACCGGCGGATGAAGCAGCTGCTGGCCCAGCTGCTCGGGCGCGAGGGCGAGGTCACCCTGGCCGTGCTCAAGCAGATCATCGAGCAGCGACCCGCCGCCGTCACCGCCGCCCTGTCCACACCTACACCCGTCGCTGCCGTACGTGTTCGCGGATTAGCTCTACCGCCACTTTTATCGTCAACACCCACGTCGTGTGTGTCGCGTGTGTCGCGTGTGTCGCGTGTGTCGTATGTAGGACGCAAAGCCGGACGATGGAGGAGCAGGACCCAACAACTCTACGACGACCGCACCGGACGTGGCGGAGGCGCCCGCGGCCCCCCTCCGGCCCCGCCCTCGATCGGTGCGCCGCCGTTTTTTTTGCCCCCCGCCGCCCCCCATGGGCGGCCCCGGCGCCCCGCCCGCGGCCTCGCTGCTGCCCAAGCGCAAGATTCAGAAGCCGTCGATCAAGCTCAAGGGCTACCAGTGGGTCAAGCTGCCCGACGCCAAGATCAAGAACACCGTGTGGGGCAGCTTCGACTTCCAGAAGCAGATCCGGTTCGACTGGAACGAGATCGAGGAGATATTCGCCGCCAACCCGCTCCCCACCAAGGAGAGGTCCAGCGGTCCGTTCTCTCTCTCTCTCTCGCCCCCCCCCGTGTGTGTCGTGTTCGTTCTCATTTTTTGGTTCGTCTTCGCTCTTTTGGACACACACAGGGTCGACCATCGTGAAGCCTGAGGCTCGCGCTCACGTCTTGAACGCCAAGAAATCGCAGAACATCGGTATCGTGCCCCATTCCATAGAGCCAGGCCGCGGCTTCTGGTGTTTTGGCTGACGTGCTGTGTCTGGTGTGTGACCTCCAGCCATCATGTTGGCGCGACTCAAGCAGCCCAACGAGGTGATCAAGAAGGCCATCCTCTCGCTCGACGAAATGGTGCGTACGGCCGAGAGCGAAGTGAAGTGTTGTGCATGTGTGCAGGCGCGTGGCCACCCAAGAAAATTAAGATCTCACCTTCTTCGCCCTTCTCAGGTCCTGACCAAGGAGAACATTCGAATGCTCCACGCCTTCGGACCCACCGCGGAAGAGGTGCGCACACTCACCATCTCAATTCTTCTTTTTTTAATTGTTGTTAATTTATCGATTGACTGACTGAAATTGACATCGACTGACTGATATTGACACGATTAAATATATATAATATATTAGATCGATCAAATCAAGGACCACGTGAAGAAGGACAGCGAGAAGCCGCCCGAAAGCCGCGTGGCGCTGGCCGACCCGGAGCAGCTGTTCCTCGAGGTACGCCTCCGCGCCGCTTCCCCTTCTCCATTCGCCTCAGAGAGCTAATGACGTCATCACCAACGCACGCACACGCCGCACACGCCGCACGCACGCACACACCGCACACAGTTGTCCAGCGTCTCCAATCTGGAGGAGCGCCTCAGGTTCTTCCTCTACAAGCTCGAATTCGCCGACAAGCTCGCCGAGATCAGACCGGGCGTCGAGACCGTGCGCGTCGCGACGACCGAGTTCAACAACAACAAGAAGTGGATGCAGATCCTCGAGGTACGCCGACCGGCCAGCCGGCCAGCCAGTGCACTACTTACACGCCCTCGGTTGGGGGTGGCTCACCCCTTTTGCCTGCCTTGCGTGTCGCATGTGTCATTTGTGTGTGTGTGTGTGTGTGTGTGTGTGTGGGCAGCTCGTGCTGTTTTTGGGTAACTTCGTGAACGAGGGCACCTTCAGAGGCGGCATCAACGGTTTCAAGCTCTCCAGTTTGCAAAAGGCACAAAACACGCACACACACACGCACACGCACACGCACACGCACACACACACACACACACACACACCAGCGTAGCGCTAAAAGAATGTTTCGGGAATGGCGACCAGATGATGGACGTGCGAGGGGTGGACGGTCGGACCACGCTCCTGCACTACCTGGCCAAGATCATCCGCAACGAACACATGGAGCTGCTCGACTTCACCGACGAACTGTCCCACTGCGCCGACGCCGCCAGAGGTACGCACACGACACACACGACACGACACACACCGCACACACCGGCACACGCCGCGCACACCGCACACGCACACATGTGAGGCATACGACCAACGACACGACCCGCGTGGTGTGTGTAGTGTCGCTGAGCTCCCTCAAGTCCGAGTTCATGACGCTGAAGAAGGAGCTGCAGCAGCTGGAGGACGCCCTCCCGAAATTCAGCCCCGGCAAGCCGGAGGACAAGTACATCGACACGTTCCAGATATCCTTTATTCCAGCGACACACACACACACACACACAACACACACGCACGACACGACACGACACGACACGACACGACACGACACGACACGACACGACACGACACGACACGACACGCGCCATCGCACACCGCACACGCATGCACATACGTACGTGCTGGATTGAAGTGAAGTATGGGCGCCTTGACCTGATCGTACGAATTCGACAAGCGGGCGAAGGACGTGCTCTACATCCTCGACGAGACGCTCGTGGAGACCGAGCAGCTCTTCAAGGTACTCTTCTTCTTCTCTTCTTTCGTCTTCATTCTTCTTCTCTGTCGTCTTCTTCTTCGTTCTTCTCTGTCGTTTTCTTCGTCTTTGGTCATCTTATTAATCGCGCACGCGCGCTGGCGCACAGAGCGTGCTCACCTTCTACGCTGAAGACCCGCAGTGCGACCCGGAGGAGTTCTTCACCGTCATCTCCTCCTTCTGCTCCGCATTCGAGGTGCGCCTCGTTTCGTTTCTCGTTTCGTTTCTAGTTTCATTTCTCGTTTCGTTTCGTTTCGAGTGTTGGGTTTTTGGGTTTTGTTGGGTGGAGGAGGCTGATGCGATGACGTGGACCGTTGTCGGGTGCAGAAAGCGGCGGAGGAGAACGAGCGGGAGAAGAAAGCCTCGGAACGGGCAGCCAAGCGAGCGGCGCAAAAGGAAGAGAAGGACAAGAAGGTCGCGCACCCACAACACGACACACGACGCACGACACGGTGCACACGCACATTTGATCCTGCGTGCCGCGTGGCTTAAGACGTGTCGTCGATTGCGTGCACCACAGGTCACCCTGCGCCGACAGCCCACCCGAGCCGGCTCGGCGGTAGGCAAGATGCCGCTTCTCGACGAGGAGGACGAAGGCGTCGTGGACGACATCCTCAACACCCTACGCGAGGGTTCCGTCTTCCGTCACCGAAGACTAGGTACCGTGTCGTGTGTCGTGTGTCGTGTGTCGTGTGTGTCGTGTGTCGTGTGTCGTGTGTCGCGTGTCGTGTGTCGTGTGTCGCGTGTCGCGTGTGTGTCATGCGGCGTAAGTAGCGGCAGCTGACATTCTGTATGTAGGCGTGAGCACCGACGACAAGGGGCAGCCGAACATCGCCATGAACGTGCTCGCCGACTTCACCAAGATGTGAGCCACCCGCAGCCGCCCCCCGCCCACTACGCGTAGTGCAAGTCAAGACGAGGCGCGACTTCCTTCGCGAGCGGGCGGACTGGCCACGAAGCCTTCGGAAGGCTGAGATTGTACACTACACACACACACCAGTGTGTTGGCACATTATGTTATTGCTATGCTATGATAAATGAAACGATATATGCTATGATATACGAAGTACGATACGCTATTTACTTTTATGTTCTTCTCTTGGCCGATCCGGCGACATGCTCAGTCAGGGGAGGAGGGGCTTGGCGCTCTTGCGTGTCCTGGGCCTCTCCCAGTGCCCGAGCGGAGCCGAGAAGACCTCCTCCACGAACCGGTCGATCGTCTCCGCGCAGTCGTAGTAGACGTTGTTGGGTCCGTTGTATCGTCGGCAGTTCTGGCACATGCGACGCAGATCGGCGATGAAGATCTCTCGCGTGATGTAGAACTGGCCCGTGTCGAGTCGCTTCTCCATCGTCTCCAAATCTACACAAACAAATAATAATATAATAAATAATGTATAAATATAAATAAAATATTAATAAAGGAATGTTTTTTGTTAAATAAAGGAGGAGGGGTACCGATGGGGTCGCGTATGATGTCGTAGTAGTCCCAGACTTCGTTCTTGTCGACCGGCTGGAGGAAGGGCCAGGCCGAGGGGTGCTCCTTGATCGAACGCAGCACGTCGCGGAAGACCACCTGCAGCGACTCCATCGACTCGCGCTCCTCGCGCACGCTGGCCGTGGGCGGCCGCAGGGCGCCGTGCGACGTCCGCTCGATGCCGGGGATGTGCGAGATCGGTATGCGGCGGCCCTTCTTGAAGCACTGCAGGCCCGCATACACCCGACCGAAGCCGCCGTACCGCTCCTTCATGCACGCCATCACGCACTAGGGCACGAGACGCGTGTCAACAACACGTTCAGCGTACCGCACGCACACGACACGCACCGCACGCACACGACACGACACGACACGCGCGGAGGGGAGTTACCTCCTTCTGGCGGCGGACGATGTTGGGGATGTCGACGTAGGACACGCCCGGGTGCACCACGCACTCCATCGGAGACGCGCCCTCGTAGTCTTTGATGTAGCCCTGCCAGTACTTCTTCGCCAGCGTCACTGATAGCGTGAACCCCTGTTTCCACAAAGATGTAAGCGAGCGTGTGTCGTGTGTCGTGTGTGTCGTGTGTGTGTGTGTGTGTGTGTGTGTGTCGTGTGTGTGTGTTGGAAGGTGCGTCGTGCCTGCTTCTTGAAGTAGCCGATGGCGTAGTTATCGGCGTAGGTGAGCATGTGCAGCGTCCCTTGCTGCCTCGCCCAGTCCTTCAGGTGGTTCATCAAATGGGTGCCGTATCCCTGTTCATCCGCACGACACGCACACGACACACACCGCGCGCGCGCGCGCACACACACACACACACGACACACACGACACACGCGCGCATGGCACACGCTGAGTTGGCAGCTCAATCGGGGGATGCGGGGAGCGTTGCGGACCTTGACTTGCTCGCCCGATGAGATGGCGCAGAAGGCGATCTCGAGGAAGTTCTGCTCCGGGAACGGCCGGAAGGTGATCCCTCCGATCACCTGGCCCTGCTTCACCAACACCAGCGACTTGTGGTACCTGCCGCCACACCACACGCCTAAGCCGTGCGTGTCGCGTCGCGTGTCGCGTGTGTCGTGTCGCGTGTCGCGGGAGCGCGTACGTGTCAAAGACGAGTCGTGCGATGTATTCGCGCGGCATCTTCGGGAGCTGGGTGGAGAAGACGTTGCGCAGGTCGGCCAGCCACAGCAGGCTCCGCCGCGTGCCGTCGTTCCGCACGATCTGGAAGCCGATCGTCCCCATCTTCTCCTCGGTCTTTGCCATCTCATCTCTCGACCTAAATTTGTTCCATCGCGCGGTCATCAGCGTGTGTGCGATGTGTGCTGTGTGCGTGTGCGGTGTGCGTGTGCGGTGTGCGCGGTGTGTGCTGCGTGCGTGTGCGGTGTGCGCGGTATGTGTGCGGTGCAGTACCCCATGTCGTCCATGCCGGTCTCGGGTCCCAGCAGTACGTGGTCGCTCGCCGGGGTGGGCACCAGCATGCGCACCTCGTCCATGGACATGCTGCGGCCGGGCTCCAGCCCCTCGTCCTCCTCTTCGTCGTACCCATCGTCCAGCCCATGGTTGTTGTTGGTACTGTTGTTGTCTTGGCCGGCTTCGTCGTTTTCAATGTCGTCGTAGCCATCTGGCCTGACCGGTCCATCGGTGACGGGTCCCTTATTCGCTTTGCCGTCGTCAACTGGCTCCCGCAGAAAATGCTGTAAGTCATGACATACACGCGACACACACGCGCGCGCACGACACACGACACACGCGCACACGACATGCGTACCCACGGTGAGGATGTCGATTTCGTCGTCCCGTTCCGTGCGGGCCTTCTTGGTCCTTGGGGGCGATCGGGTGTTGCCTGTGATCTTTCGCTTGCGCTGCGACGCGCCGGTACTCGACATGGTACGACGTTCATCGAGGCCTGAAGTATTGATTGAAGTATTGATTTCCTGTTGGTGCATTGACGAACGACGATTGGGGTGAGATCTAAGAGGCACTCGCCCCTGGTTCACCGCGCAGACAAGCAAAAGAAAATGAAAAAGAAAAAAAGAGGAAAAAAGAGAGAGGGGCAGGCCGCACCTTTTCGAGGGCTTTCATAAAGGAGGGGTAGAGCGGTTTGACCTTTTTGGTCAACAGCCCATTACTGACTAACGACTCCTTGATCTCCTGTCGTTCGGATACAAAGGGAGGCATGTGAGCCGTGTGCGTGTGCGTGTGTGTGCCGCGTGTGTCGCGCGTGTGTGTGTGCGGTGTGTGCGGTGTGGCGCTCACCTCGAGTATTTGACGTAGCATCGTGCGTCCAAACACCTTAGACGGCTTGTGATTGGCATCTTCTTCACCACTTAAACAGAATTGTTGCCATCTGTGCGGTTGGTTGTGGTTGGTTGCTCGGATCTTGAGAGCACACGACACGACACGACACGACACGACACGACACGACACACAGAGAGAGCAAGGCTTCTTACCTACGATAGTTCAATCGATAGCCTGAGCCCTCGTCGTAATAATCGTCGTCGTCCTCGGGCGCGGCCGGCTCGTGGCCGTCGATGACTCGCACCAATAGTCGCCGGAGCTGTGTGGCCTTTTGCTTCTCCTCCGACCCCTCCTTGTACATTCGTGAAACAAAATTGTGCAGAATCTGTGCAACCCACGCAACGCAAGGGGGGAGTGAGTTGTGGCCGTGTGTGCGGCGTGCGGTGTGTGTGCGTGTGCGGCGATGTGCGCGGTACCTGTGCTATGACAGGCTGCTCAAAGGGAGGCTGGCCCATCGCTGGGCTGGCGTCGGCTTCGCCCGCGGCTGAAGCGTCGGCTTCATCGGCGGGTGACAGGAACAGTTCCCTGGCGGGTGAATGAATGAAGAAGGATTTGGTGATAATGATGATGATGAGCATCGCAGCAACTAAAAGGTGATGGAGAGACTGTGTGAGAGTGGTAGTGAGTACTCTCGCAGGGCGGTAATGCGAGGCTTTGGGGCGCGGCACTCTATCAATTTGTGGATGCGCTGCGCCACGTTGGCTCGTCGTTCGAGTTCGCCCTCTTCCAATTGCATCAACTCGCCGTGTCCTGTGTTTCGTGCATACACATACATCATCGCACACGCACACATCGCACACGCCAAGCAAGAAGTCGGGTGAGTCTTTTTTTATGGCTCTACGTGGAGCGGCAAGTCGAAGTCGATACGCGCTCGTCGCGATGAGGTGCCCATGAGCAGGTGGATTTGTGTGAGCGCTAACGACAGCAAATGAAAGACCTGGGCAGAGCCAAGAGTGTGTGCGTGTGTGTTGCGTGTGGCGAGACCGGTGGAGTGGCAGGCTGCTCGCGCGGTGAAGATGGCACGAGAAAGGCGGCAGAAGCCGAGGGAAGGAGAACAAACAGAGAATGCCCAGTGGAAAAAAGGGGGTTTTGACCGACCCATCACGGCTGGGCTCTTTGGCGCGGTCGTGCCCCACACACCAGCCACGCGCGCACACATGAAAGAGAAGAAGGAGAAGAAGGAAGGAGAAGGAGAAGGAAGAGGATGAGTACCGATGAGCGGGTGGTGACAGGCCGAGCACTGGTATCGATCCATCTTGCCGGCCATCTTGCGCTGGGTGGCCGAGGTTCCTCCGAGCAGGGAACTGGCGGCCTCGTCGGTAAGAGCTTTGCTGCCCTTCCATCCTTCGCACGAGCAGCTCCCCACCATCTGCACACAACATACATTCCATTTAAATAATGGAAGTAATAATTGGGGAGAAAAAAAGAACGATGAAAGGATGCATCCCCTGCGAACCTGGCCGTTTTCGAAGACGGGAGCCGAACAGGAGAAGAAGGGGGCGACGTGGAGCATCTTCTCCACAACCGCCATGGGGTACTGCATCTTCGAGTCTTATATCCTATACAGCGCGGAAATGGCCGGGAGCTTTGTATTCTGCCGGATCTCCGAGAGCAGTTGTTCGCCTTGCCTTGCTCGCTTGTTACAGCATTCAAGCCAGGTGTACCTCTAGTGCCTCACTCCGCACAACACGAGATTTACTCGTGCCCAGAAGGGATGATCTGGTTCAACTCCGTGGCGCACACGAAACTGTATTTTGAGAGAACTATTTCGAAACAATTTGAGGTAACATTCACTTTCCAAACAGTTTCGAAATGATAAGTTTAAATTTTTTAATTGGGAAAGTGCAAAAAGGGAAAGCTACAAGTTTGTCGCTTGAACACCGAACGAAGAGCCCCATCATTTGGTCAACACTCTTGCGAGTTGAAGTTGGATACCAACCGACCAGCATCCTGAGGCTCTGAGAAGGGAGGAGAAGCGAGAAGAACCCGACATAAGAAGGTAGACGAAGAAGACGAAGAAGGAAGATGTCGATGAGAGGCAACAGTTCGACGAGCTCGGGGGGCGAGAACAGGAAGAGGGACAAGGAGTACGCCTCGTCCCTCGTACCCGAGGTGCTGGAGGATCTCCGCAAACCGGACAACTACCACCGCCTGCGAGACCGCAACTCGCGGTCAACCACCAGCGGCTCGCGGATAGGTTCATCGTCTTCTGGAGGCGGATCATCATCCTCCTCTTCGACCAACTCGTTGGGCGCGATGCTATCGACGGGCGAGAGGAAGAGGGGCAACACCGCCAGTTCTGGCGACAGAAGCGGCAGCGGCACGGTGGTTCTCGCTGCGAGCGAGAAGAGGGACAAGTACGCGAGCGGCGCCAGGCGGGACTCTCTGGTGGGTGGAGGAGGTAGCGGCTCGTCGGGCTCCTCATCTTCGATTGGAAGCGGGAGTGGAAGTGGGAGGAAGGAGGGGCGAGGCGTCGATTCGCTCCCTCCCGCGCTCAAGGAGGATCTTGAGATCTTCAAGAGGGAGCTGGTGAAGCACCTGAGGAAGGAGATGAGCAGGCTCAAGGACGACCTCATCGACGATCTGCGCCGAGAATTCGCTGCCTTTAGACAGAACTGAGGAGGCATTTCAAGACGCCTCCTCGACTCGACACAGATCCGCTACACGATAATGAAAACATCATCTACAGCGAGACAGAATCGGCGAACTAAGCGACGAGGGGGGAGGGGAACGAAGATATAAAGGGCTATACCGGAGCAAGGGAGAAGAGGAGTGCGAGTGATGTAATTATAAGAAAATCATCTTCTCTTTCACCTCTTGGCGCGGACCGTACAAACAGATATTAGCTGCAAAATAAAATAGAAAAGCTGAAACTAAAGTTGCCCGTGAGCGACAACTTTGTTGATCTCTCCCACCCCAAGACGACGAGTTGAGCACCTTCGAGGTACTGAGCCATCATGTCGTGGTTATTGATGCGCCAGACGGGGGTCGATCCCGCACGTCGGGCCTGGCACACCCTGGAGGTGACCCCCACCGGCGGCAAGATGATCCTCTTCGGCGGATTTGACGGCGACAAGCAGTACTACAACGACATTCTACTCAACGATCGTGGTTTGCCCTCCATCTCCAGGCTCAGCTTCGGCCCGCAACTCGCGCTTCGTTCTTTCTTTCCCATTCTCCCCCGCGCAAACAATCAAATCAATTTGCCATCTGATATTATTTGTTTATTTATTTTAGTTTATTTATTTAATTATAAATTTGTTGATACACTACACGTACGCTTTATATTTATTAATAAATAATTTAATCTTACAAACGCGTTTTTGTAGGGTCACGTTGGGAGAAGCCCACGGTGGGTGGCGTCGCGCCCACGCCCCGCAGCCAGCATTCCTGCGTGATGGCCGGGAGCAAGATGATCATCTTCGGCGGCTGGGACGGCGAGAAGGCCCTGTCCGACCTGCACGTTCTCGACACAGGCACGACCCCACCCCCCCACCCGACCGCTTGCTCCACTCCTCCTCGAGCGACCGTCACCGCAGAACTGACTTCGACGCGTGTTGCCGGCCGTGTGCGTATGTGCGTGTGTGCGCGTGTGCATTCGTGTGCGTTCGTGCCGCGCAGAAAAGTGGGTGTGGGAGAAGGTGAAAACGAGTGGCTGCATGCCCCAGGCACGATACGGCCATTCGGCTGCCTACCTGAGGCACGACCACCCGGCTCTCGGCTCTGTTGCGCTTTCCGCTTTCCAGAAATCTCACTCACGCCGCGTTTGCGTGTGCGGTGGCGCGTGTCGTGCCGCGTGTCATGTGTGCGGTGTTTGTCCAACGCAGCGGCGTGATGTACGTGTTTGGCGGACGAGGCTTCGGCGGGAGCTATTTGACGATGGACAAGGTGCTGATGCTCAACACCAACACCTACGTCTGGGAGGAGAAACACGCCGGCGGCGACGTCCCCACACCCCGCTTTCTCCATACAACCACCAGTACGTATGTCGTTGTGCGGTGTGTGCCGTGCCGTGCCGTGTGTCGTGTGCTGTGGGCGAGCGCTGACCTGCCGCCGGCGTGTTCTTCGCTCAGCTCTCAAACTGCTTAACGGGCTTTATCTGTTTGGCGGCGAACACAACAACGAAGCCCTCAGCGACCTCTACGTTTTCAATCCAGGTACACTTAAAACAATTCTATTACCTTCACTATTATTGATACACTATTAGAGAGACATGAATATTTAATGGAAATATATAGCTATATGTTGCGCGTTGGTAAAATAGTATTTTGTATTGAGGCTTAATTAATTGATTCAACCGATCTTTTTCGTATATTTGGGGGCTGCAGCGCTGCCGGACAGTCAGAAGTGGGTGCGGCTCCGCAGCCGGAAGATACCGCCTCGATCGTCCCACTCGGCCGTCGGGGTCGGACCCCTCATCGTCTTCTTCGGCGGCGAGAACAAGAAACTCGCGCCCAAGCCCACCCACCACAACGACGTCTGGATCTACTTCGCCGGTACCTCTCCGCTCTTTGAAAGAGAGAAGCGCGACGCTCGCGCTCGCACTCACGATTTCGCTCTTTTGTGGTGGGCGGGGGGGGGAGGGCAGACGAGCAAAAGTGGCGCGAGGCCAAGGCCACCTTCGGCCGCCCCGGGGAGGACAACGCGAGGGCGCCTCCGGCCTATGCTGGTACGCTGTCCCTCTGCCATCGTCTTTGCCAAAAAGCCACATCTGATGTGCGTGCGGCGTTGTGTGTCGTGTGTCGTGTGTCGTGTGTCGTGTGTCGTGTGTCGTGTTGCGAAACAGGTCACACGATGGCGTTGTTTTCAAAGAGTAAGATCTTCTTGTACGGCGGAGTGCGACAGGAGAAGCCGCTCACCACGACGCACTACTCCAACGACCAGCTCATCCTCTACCACCTCGAATCCTTCAACGAACTCCTCAAACGTACTTAGCCCCGCATTCATGAGCCCTCGCCTCTCCCCTGCTGACCACCGCACACGCACACGACACACGCACCGCCGCACACGCACACTCGCCGCCGCACACGCACACACGACAGTGGATAGCAAAGGAAAGAAGAAGAAATCCAAGGAGAGGTCCGGCAGCTCGCGGCGAGACAAGTCTTCGAGTACCGCGGCCAAGCTCAAGAGCATCATGAAGGCCAAGAACGCCCCGCCGACCTCTCAGCGCCTAGCTCGCAGCTACACCATCGGCGACGTCGGTACTTTATCTCTTTCTTTCACCACTGCACAGCACCACCGCACGTGCACCACCGCACATCATCGCACACGCACCACCGCACACGCACCACAGCACCGACCGCACATCATCGCACACAATCTCAACTGTATGGGGTTGCAGGCATTGGCGTTCCGTACAACGTGCAGAGGATGCTGCACGTCGACATCAATTACAACTGGGAGGGCGTGGCCGAGGACAACTTCGCCATCGAAGAGAAGCTCGGCGAAGGGTTCGCTCGCTTTCTCTTTCTCACACCTGAGCTCTTGTTTAGTGTCCGCACCGCACACGCACCACCGCACACAACACACGTCGCACACAACACACGTCGCACACACTGTAGGCTCATTTTATTATACTGTTTTATTTACGCAAACGACACAGGGCCTATGGAGCGGTGTACAAGAGCACGCAGAAGGGGACCGGCTGCGTTTTGGCGATCAAGGAAATCAACGACGAAGGCGACTTCGAGGAACTGAAGAAGGAAATCGATATCCTCAAAAAGGTTCGCTTTTTCTTCGCCCCCCCCCCTCTCTGTTCGTTCTTTCGGAGCTAATTGTTGCGTGTTGGACAACGACAAAACCACAAACAGTGCAGGAATTCGAACGTGGTGTCATACTATGGCACGGCCACCACCCGGGAGAACAAACTTTGGGTATGTGCATGCTCTCATGACCATGCACGCACGCACGCCACCGCACACGCACACGCACACCCACGTGGATGGTTAGCTGACTGTACTCTCTTCCTGGTGGGGTTGGTGGTGGTGCCACCAGATCTTGATGGACTACATGTCGGTCGGCTCGGTGCGAGATCTGATCGAAGACACGCAGATGGCGCTCACCGAGGAGCAGGTCGCCTTCATCTGCCGCGAGTCGCTCAAGGGCCTGCTCTATCTCCACGGCACCAAGATCATCCACCGCGACGTCAAATCGGCCAACATACTCCTCGACTCGGACGGAGCCGTCAAAATCGGTATATACCAATTATAATTCTATTTGTTATTAATTATAAGTTGTTTTATGTTATTCGTTTTTCATTCTTATTAATTTACTTGTTTTTTCATTATTTATTAATTTATTCATTTGTTCGGTGCGTGGTGCACAGCCGATTTCGGTATTTCGGCGCAGATGAACGAACACAACTCGCAGGCCAAGGAGCGAATCGGCACTCCCCTGTGGATGGTACGCAGCGGCTCGGCCTCGTTGGCTTTCCCGCTAGCGCGCGCATGGTCCACTCTTATGTGGTGTGTGTGTCATTGTGTGTGTCGTGTCGTGTGTGTGTCATGTGTGTCTTTGCGCCAATATTGGCAGGCGCCCGAAGTGATGTTGCAGCAGCGATACAACTCCAAGTGTGACGTGTGGTCACTGGGCATCACCGCCATCGAGATGGCCGACGGCCTGCCGCCCAACCACGACGTCTCTCCCGTCCGCGCCATGCGCCTTATCCCTCAGCAGGTACGCCATCCTTAACTCACCACACGACACGACACGACACGACACGCACACGCACACGCATATGACACACGACACGCACATGACACACGACACACGATGTTGATGGGTCTTGGTGCGTGCAGCCGCCACCGACGTTGGAGAATCCGTCGGAGTGGTCGAAGGAGTTCAACGATTTTGTGGCCAAGTGCCTGGTCAAGGACCCCGAGGCCCGGCCAACGGCCATGGACCTCCTCATGCACCCGTTCATCGCCACCGCCAAAGGTCGCCCTTCTTCCTCCACGACACCGTGTCGTGTCGTGTCGTGTCGTTGGTCGTGTCGTGTCGTGTCGTGTCGTGCCGTGCCGTGCCGTGCGTGCGGGTGTGTGCCGTGCCGTGCCGTGCCGTGCCGTGCCGTGCCGACACCGTGTCGTGTCGTGTCGTGTCGTGTCGTGTCGTGTCGTGTCGTGTCGTGTCGTGTCGTGTCGTGTCGTGTCGTGCGGGTGTGTGTTATGTGAGGGTTGCTGAGGGCGGACAATGGGTGCAGGTCCGGAAGTGATGAAGGAGCGACTGGCCGATCTCATCATCGTGCGAGAGGACAAGAAGAACGAGAAAGCCGAGGACTCGGAAAGGTGTGCAACCGCCCCCCCACCACCTGCACCCATCCCACACAGCTATCCATCATTCATAACATTCCGCACACACCACCGCACATTCCACACATGCCACACATACCGGCGTAAATATCTATATCTGGGGGCATTTTGGGTACCAACAGTCTTGCCAGCCCTCTCCCGAGTCCCTCGGACAGCGGGAGCTTCGGCGAAAGCTGTCATCTTCGAACGACGCCTTCTCCACCATGCTCGTCAACAACGAAGCCGAAGGCAGCGGCGACTATGGTTCGCACCGCACCGCACCGCACACACGCCGCACACACGACACACAGATACGACACACGACACGCACGAGGTTGACAGGGTTATTGGTGGTGCAGCGCTGGCGCGTAACAGAGCGCAGTACAGCAGCGGCGGCGGCGGAGCGAGCAGCGGCGAGAGCTACGCGACGATGGTGGTCAACGACGACGGCGAGGAGGGCGGCGACGCCTGGAGCACCATGGTCGTCAACGACCAGGCCGAGGGCGGGAAGCTGGACCTGAGCCACGACGACGGCGACGGCGATGACAGCGGCGATATGTGGAGCACGATGGTGGTGCGCAACGACGTCGAGGGGGTCAAGCTGGCGGCGGCCGGCAGCCTGTCGAGCGAGGACACAGCGACCGAGGACGAGGACGAGAGCGGCGGCGGCGACGCGTGGAGCACCATGGTCGTCAAAGACAACGTCGCCTCACAGAAGCTCAACATCGGTACACGTTCACACCGCACGCACCGCACACACGACACTCGCACGCACCGCACACGCACATATGCGAGTTTGTTTGTGGTCATTATTTTAACGCCGGCGCAGACCCGAGCGGGGCGAGCAAGCCGATTGCGGCGCCGACGCTGCACAACAGCAGACATTCGCTCATTCCGCGCGCGGCCACGGCGTCGCCACCGCCCACCGGCGCGACGACGGCGTCTTCCTCCTTCTCGCCCTCGTCCTACAACCCACCGTCGAGCTTTGGCAGCCCCGCCGGCCGGCCCAACACCAGCCCTGGTAGTCCCCTCGCTCATTTATCAATTACCAAATTAATTTGATATTATTATTTGCTATTTGCTATTTATTTATTTGTTTCCTATTTTATTTATTAATATTAAAATAATTTTTGTTGGTGTGCCAGTGGTACCGCGCTTCGGCCAAGCGGGCAACCAGCGCATCACGCCCGGGACTAGTGTCCCCGCGCCCGTCGGCAAGCGCGCGTTCGGCCGACCCCCTCCTCCCTCCCGCAACTATCCTCCCGGTATGCCGCCCTGCGTGCGTGTGCGGTGATGTGTCGTGTGCGGTGCGTGTCGTGTGTTGCTCACTTCCGACTGGCCGCCAGGAACGCAACCTGCCGGGCAGCCGAACCCGGTGCCGCTCTACGCGTCGCCGTCGCAGGCCGGCAGCATGGTGGCGGCCTCCTCGACGGCCCTCGCCGCCGACCCGCCCGCGCCGCTCGCGGCCAGCACCGGCTCCGTCCACATGCGGCCCTCGACCGCCAGCCGCAGCCCCGTGGGCAGCGTCATCCGGCCGCCGTCCGCCGCGGCCGCCGCAAGCGGCGCCTTCTCCCTCGCCTCCGCCTCATCCACACTCGCCGCCGTCACCACCTCATCATCATCGTCGCCATCGCCTTCTTCATCTTCTTCATCATCGTCATCGACGGGTGAGAACGGAGGGGTGGACGACGCGGTGCTGGCGCGGCTGATGCCGCTGATCGATCGGCTCGTGGAGGAGAAGGTGCAGAAGCGGCTCGCCGAGGAACGGGAAAGGCTCAAGCTGGAGATCCTCGCCGCCCTCCAGAAGAAGTAATAACTTGCTTGGACATGTCGCGAATCGGCCTGCGTGTGGGACGAAGCCCGCTTTGCGCGCACACACAATAAAACACACACCTGTACCAACCATTGGGCTTGAAGAAATAAGAGGTAGTTGTACACAACCACGCTGGCTGATCGTCAGGGCTGCCAACGTTGAGAAAGGATCTCGAGCAGCATTTCAACTTCGCACATGTCTTCGACCTGGTTGTCACGAATAATTCACAAGCAAACGAAAGTTGAAGAAGAATGAAGCAGGCGAAGAATGGAGAAGGAGAAAGGGTGTAGCTTGTCGTACCTTTCGGTGGAGTTCCTCGAGCAGGGCAATCTGCCGTGCGTCAACCACCTTGTCTCCAGCCCTCCTGCCCTTCTGCGAACACATACGCATGCACGTACACTCGAGATCCTAGCGCACACGTTTGAAGACACACGACACGACACGACACACAGAGACACGACACGAGAGAGAGAGAGAGAGACCTGGGGGAAGAGGAGGCCCATCACCTGGGCGACGTGGGCTTCAAGCTCGCTCTTGTCCCTCGCCAGCCGCCGCTTCATGCACGCGACCTCTTCGGCAGCACCATGCGCGCCCAGGCACCGCTCGTGTAATCGCGCCTGCGCAACATCATTATCATATTCATCAACAGATGCGCTCGCACGGCCACATCGCTTCAACAGGAGGTGATTAGGTACACACGTACCAGCTCGTCCATCACAACTGCGCTCTCTCTCCGGGACCGCTGAAGCTGTGCTCCATTGTCTGTCACGGTCGCACAATTGTCGACTTAAGTGATGCGCGCGGCGTTGTGTGTCGTGTGTGTGTGTGTGTCGTGTCGTGTCGTGCAACGCGAGGGCGTCAGTTTATACCTGGAGGGAAGAGCCGAGCGTAGTGGCGCGGAATGAGGTGGGCGATGCGCTCGATGAGCTGCTTCACCTCAGCTAGGCCCGAATCCTCGTCGAGTTGGCTCAGGTTCGGCAGAAATGCCATCAGCTCGGCCCAGCTGCCTCCCTCGTACATGGCCCTGGCCTCCTCCAGCACCGTCACTGCCTTATCTCTGTCCACCGCCGCTTCGTCTTTCTCTTCTTCCTCCTCCCCCTCCTCTTTGATTACTCTCCTTCGCTTTCGTTCTTTGTGTCGTTCGTGATCGCTCCTCTCTGCGTCTTCTTCTTCTTCTTCGTCTTCTTCTCTTCGTTCTTTGCCCTTCTTGTCTTCCCTGCGCTTTGTCGTGGTGGTTGTGGTGGTTGCCGACGCGGGCTTCGCTTTCACGTCCAACGCCTCCCCGCCAGGTCCAAACGTGGCCAGCAGCTTTCTGACACATCTGCACGTGACCGTTATCGCCTGCGGGTCAGCAGCTTGCGCGCCAAACCAACACCACCCACACACACGCGCACGCACACACACGCACGCACACGCACACACGCACGCACGCACGCACGCACACACACACACACACACACAGACACACACAGAGAGAGAGCCAGAGCAACAGACCTGTGGAGTTGCTTGACGGCGGCCTTCCACTCGAAGCCGGGTCCGGGGTAGAACTGGAGGTTGACGCAGGGGAAGGCCAATCGCACGAACGGCGGACGGTCCTGCATGCGCTCATGCTCCTCCATCCCCACGCACACCAGCTGCTCCACCTTTTGGGGTATCAACGCCAGGCGCACACAGCGGTGGGTTAGGGCCTTGGGCGGTCGACGTCGGCGTCGGCGTTGTCGTTGTCGTTGGCTGAGCCGCGGCTACGCACCTGGGCGAGGTCCATGCTGTAGGGCGCGCCATCAAACACGGCGATCGCCAGGGGTCTGTGAGCCTTCTTCCGGTCCCCTGTGCGCAAGCCCAACTCGAACGACTGGGCGGTGGGTGATTGATGAGCTGTACTGGCTGGCTTGCTGGAGGCGGCACTTCAGAGTGCTCCTCACAACAAGGGAGCGGGTGGCCTACCAGTTCTGTTGGGTCCTTCGACGATCCGCCGAAGTAGAGCACCTGGCTGGGCAGGGTCACCCCCTGGCCAGCCTGCTGTTGTAACGGCGAAGGGGAAGAGGCGACCTCTTCCTGCCCCATAGAAAAGAGAGTTGCTGTTGAGATTATGCAAATCTTTGAAGAGGAGGCTAGTACCTCTGATGTTGCGACAGGTTGTGCAGGAGCTTCCTCAACGGCGAGATGGAAACAACAACGTCCACTAAAAATGATCTGCCAAGCTTCATCGCCTCTGGCTTCATCCTCCAGGCCGCCTGGTGGCGCTGCCTGCCCGCTGCCGCCACTGTGCCCTCCTTGAGAGCGCAACCAATGCTGCGCCCTCAAGAATCGTTGCCTGTCCATCTTCTGATCTTTGAAAATTGTAAGTGCGCCACGATTTTCAGGTTTCGCGCCTTTTTCAATCAACCAACAAGTGGTGCAATCACGGAGATGGATTGGGATGAAGACGACTGGGAAGACCCGCTGCACAGGGCCTATATCCAAGTTGTTGACAATGAGGGCGCTCCCGCCTTCTCCTTTCACCTGCCGCCTGGTCTGCCTCCCCTGGTAGATGATGGAGGCGCTGCTGCGGATCAGATGGCGATCGAAGAGGGTTTGGAGCCCTTGACCTGCGCCGAGGTGGAGTCCACCCTGCGACAACGCTTTAGAGCGCTACCCGATGCGAGGAAGATGGCCCTCCCACGTTCCTTCCTGAATCAACTCTTTCCGCGACCCAGCGGAGAGCAGGAGAAAGAGACGCCAGAGGAGAAGCCAGGTGAGGAAGAAGAAGAAGAAGAAGAGAAGAGCCAACGGTACGCCCGGGCGCCTCCGCCTCCGGTCTCGAAGAGATGGCTGGTCGGCGCGCTGCGGTGGCTCTTCCTCGCCAGCCAAGACGACCCGCAGGCCGGCCTGGCCTGGCTCTCGACCACTGCGACGCAGCCAGGCGAGCGGCACGAAGGCGGCGACGTCGAGCGGACGGAGGAGTGGTGCCTCATGGCGTCCGCCGTGCTGGGGCACATCGAGTCGTCGATGCACGACTTGTACGCCTCGCCCAAGTTGACGAATGAGTACATCGCTCGACACACCGATCTGCTGGCCGACACGGAGCAGCTGGCGAGCTGGATCAAGCGCGCCTGCCAGGCGCAGCGAGCCGAAGTGCTGCCCTACCTTCTGCGCTGCCTCTCCGCCTTGGGCTGCGCGCACGCCCGTCGGGTGCCTCAAGGTTTGGTTCTTCTCTTTCTTTCTTCTCTTTCTTTCTTTCTCCCTCTGGGTTTCAACCTCTCACCGCTGTGCGGTCGATGTGATGCAGGTGAAGACCGGTATGTGCAGCTGGTGCTGGAATGCATCCAAGCACCGCTGCAGCCCACCAACAAGCCCACCGTCATCACAGGTCTCTCCCCACTCTCTCTCTCTCTCTCTCCCCCCCTCCCTCTCATTTCTCCATGCAGTGTGGCAAATTGCTGACTCGTGGTAACCCAGCTGGACTGAACTACCTTGGCATGCCCCGCTCCGGCTTCGTTAACGAGATACTACAGGAGACGTTAGATGAAGTACGCACGCGCACAACACACACACACACACGCAACACAGCCGAGCTTGAGTGCGAATTTGTTCACGCTTTTATTCTTATTCTCATTGTCTCACAGTTCGAGCAGAGCATCATTAACCTGATCGATCACCCGGAGATCCAAGTGAGGACCGCTCTCCTTCCCCTGCTATGCAGCCACCGATACGATCTCTCAGATGCTGTGCTGCTGGTACCTACTCCGTGCCCTTTGCCCTTTGCTAGAGTCGAGCGCGGTCCAGGACTGACCCTTGGTCTCGTTTCTCAACCAACCAACCAACAACCAACCAACCAACCAAAAGAAACGCCTGGCTTCGCTCAAAGACGAAACCCATCTCTCGATCCTGACCCAGACGTTGAGCGCGCTGAGCCAAGCCCTGTCGCTCGACAGGCTGATCGATCATTCCCAGGACCTGTTCGAAGTCGCTATGCGCGCGCTGGGGGTACGGGGTTCGCTCCCCGTCTGACTCACGCGCGTCTAATCTCATCCCGTGTTTCCACGTGTGCCGTGTGTACGTGCGGTGTGTCGTGCCGTGTGCCGTGTGCGTGTGTCGTGTGTCGTGTGTCGTGTGTCGTGCCACTCATAAAGCACGAAGACCGCAAGGTGGTCTACAGCGCTGCTGAGTTGCTGGAATTGAGCCTTGACTACTACGACGCCGAGTTGGACAGGAATGCGTCGGAAGCCCTTGTGTGGTACATTTCTCAGCCCATTCCCGTGAGAAGCGCTTCACCAAGCCAACATGGCCCATCGGACTCTCCCAGGCTGGTCCGGGCGCTGGTGGACGTCGTTTGGAAGCCGCGTGCGATCAAGAGCCTGCTGGCGCTCAGCGTCAAGTGCGTGAGAGCCAACCTGGACAAGTTGAAGCCGTTGGTGCCGGTGCTGCCCCACGAGTTGCAGCAGCGAATCAACCCGCTCGAGTTCAAGATCCACGACAGTACGTTCCTCCCCCTCCCCTTCATTCTTGCCTCCTGTGATTTCCTGCACTGACAGCACCACACACACCACACACCACACACCACACACCACACACCGAACGCTGTGACACTGGCGCACCAGCGCTCGGGGTCGCGGATCAGAAACTGTGGTGGAGCCGCCCACACGACGCGGCCACTCACTGTCTCAACGTCCTCGTTACCGCGTACCCGCACTGCTTCACCGAGCTGGCGAGAATCGTCGACGAGTACTTGGAGCCGGAGCAGCCCTGGCGCAAACGGTAGCGTACCATCGCGCATCACCATTATCGGCGTGACTACGGCTCCGCTGGTCATGACTATAGTCACTAACCGTGTCACGCACGCGCAGGGAGGTCGGTCTCTTTTTGCTGCAGTGTGCGCGAGATGAAGGGGAGTACAACGATATGGAGTCGGTGGAGGAACTCATGGCCTGGGCTGAGGGCCATTTGCCCTTGGTCGTCGCCTCCCTCAGCCATCCTCACGTGCGTTACCCCTTGGCGCACTCCACCACACACCTGAGCTGGCGTTTAGCTAACTGTCGTGTGTGTGTGTGTGTGTGTGTGTGTGTGTGTGTGTGTGTGTGTGTGTGTGTGTGTGTGTGTGCGCGTGTCGTGCGTGACGTGTACAGCCACAAATCCGAAAGGTCAGCTGCCTTACGATTGAGCGCACGTATGCGAGAGACGTGGACGACTACACTGAGGAGGTGTTGGACGCATTGTGGCGTATCGCCAGCGACGATCCGGTGGACGTGGCCGAGGCGGCTGTCTCCTGCATCAATGAGCTCTTCGGCGCGGGCTCGCTTTCCCTACTCACATACGACGAGGGCTTGGAGCGCTTGGTCGCCATCTGCCGCAAGCGTCCTCCTCTGGTAAGATCGATCGATGTCGTGCTCCTTCGCGCCCGGCCACATTCGCGACCACGACTAACTATTGTTAACCTTCTTGCCCTCTACAATCTTCCAGGCGGAGCAGCTCGTGCGAACCATGATCGGTCTCATCCCTCTCAGAGTCGGTACAACAGGCAACCCGCGTCGCGCGCACCACCGCACACGCATGCACTGTCGCACACGCACACGCCACGCGCACACGCACAATCACTACACCGCACACGCCCGCTTCATTTAACGTAATTTTTCATTTTAACGTTGTTTGTTGTGCTTGTGCTTGTGATGATGCAGCACCGGACGTGTGGATACCGACGGTCGTTCCTCTCTGCCTGGAGCTGATCGAGACCAGTCAAGACGCCGACACCCTGCGCAGCACTTTCGAGTGTCTGGCCGAAGTCCTGCTCTACAACGCCAAAAGTATAGGTATGGCTTCACCCCCCCCCCAAGCCCACTGGTGATTTATTCATCGCACCACTGCCACACACACCACACGCACACACACCTAATGACGCTACCTGTCGTGCAGCCACAGGATTGGGCGGCCACAAGGAGGCGATCACGCAGCTGCTCGAACGATTCTCGGCTCGACCGGAAGACCACGTACGCTTTGCCTTCCGCCTTCTTCTTCTTCTTCTTCGCTTCGAGCAGGCCAAGCTCACGCCCCGATTTGGTTGGTTCGGACCTATAGGCGCGCGGGGTGAGGCTGATGGATGCGCTCCAGCGTGCCAATGTCGACCTGAGCCTGTTTGCCTCGCCCGACGCTATCGTCGCCTTTGCCGCGTCAGTTCTGCAGGTGCGTGGCGCGGAGCTTAGACAATCTTTAGAGGCCACACTCACCCCATGCGTCGTTGGTCGTGTGTGTCGTGTGCGTCGTGTGCGTGTCGTAGTCACAACGCCCATCGGTACACAAGCTGTCCCACCTATTGGACCACATGACCATGAAGCATCCGGAAGCAGTGCAGCGAGCACTCCCGCAACTGGTGCCAGCCGTGGTGGCCGCCATCTACCACACGCACTACGACCCCAGCAAGTGGTATCACATGTTCGCGAGCATCAGTACGACCACACACACCCACACTCGAACGCACACGCAGTTCACATCTTCTCACGCTTGCCGTCGACGACACGACACGACACGACACACACGGCACACACCACACACACACACACATGCACAGACGAATGGCTACACTCCTTTTCCGAGGAGATGACGCCTCACATCGAATCGCTGTCGGCCTGCCTCGCCCGCGTTTCGCCGGCCATCGTGTCCGACAAGTACCGCGCGGCCATGGTCAACGCCATCGGCCTGATGGGCTTCCGCCATGCGCACCTGGTCAGCCCGGCCGTGCTGCGGGTCTTCCCGGCCAACTGGCTCCGGTCGGCCCACATCTTTGGCATCAAGTATCCGGACCCCAGCTGGCGCAACCGCGCGCCCGGGTCGCCGCCGCTGCCGTGGGAGGAGGCCGCCGAGGGCCTGGCCAACGTGATCGAGCGCCTGTGCACTACTGCCACCACAGATAACTACGCCAGCGACGCCTCCAGTGAGTCGCGCTACATGGCGCCCGTCGCGCTGGCCGCGCTCATCAAGGAGGTGCTCGACACGATGCGCTCGCTCGGCGCCCTGCAGGGCGCGCTGAGCCCGCGGCTGCGGGAGCGGCTGGCGGCGGTCGTGGCGGCGGTGACGGGCGGGTGGTCGCACAAGCAGCAGAAGGCGTTCGTGCGCCAGTACTGGGCGGAGGAGAGCAACGACCGCGAGGACTACAAGGAGCTCCTCCGCGAGTTCCTGCCCGACATCCACCCGCTTGTCGTCCTCCTCAATCTCAAATAGACTACATTCTTTTTCTCTCTTTGTTCACCTGATCTTTTTTTCTTCACTTTTGTCATAAATGCTGATGGATAGTGATTAAGATGCAGTGCAATCTTGAGCAAAAAAATGTACTGATCTCTGTGAAATGGGCTCTTCCACCTTGGCGGGTGTGGACCAAACCCTTCTGGAGAATGTGTGGGCAGGAATATCATTGGCTTCACCCACTATGAGATGCATAAAATTTAACCTATGTAGAGTGGCCATGACAACTGAACCAATGGGCAAGTGGGCCGGATTTTCGGGAGCAGAAGAGAATCTGAACCTATCTTGGCCTTGCGTCCTTGGGGGGCAATAGCAAGAACAGGACCTGACGACGATGTGGGTGCGTCGCCGACGCCCAGAGGTGCTGTTCGTGCTGCTGTTGGGCAGCAGTGTATTCCTCTACTCGGCCTGGTTCTATGGCTGGCACACGCAACTGGGAGATTCCCTGAGCGACTACTACGCCTCCGACGACGACCACTCATCTTCATCACTAAAGCCGCCCAAGCCTGCTCCCTGGTACCCATCACTCAACCGCACGCACGAGGCCCTTCTCGCCGCCCACCGCAACTACACGGCCAAGGTTAGTTGCCCCCCCCCCTCTACAAAGCCCCAGAAAGATAAGATTAGAGCGCTGACGACTTTTCCCTTGGCTGGACCCGGCCTGCCCAAACAGCTGGCTGGTGAGGTGCTTTGCAGCCCAGACAAAAGCCTTCGGCTCCGTGCCGCGGCTCGTCCACGTCGCTGGGTACGTACGTGGACTTAGTCAACAGCCCGGACATGAAAATGGTGTGGTAACTCCGAATGTGATGTGATGGTGATGGTGATGGTGGCGCACACAGTTGGACCAGACGCGCAGCCTCGAGTGGCTCTTTGAAAGGAAGGTGTCGCCGGCGGTCAGCGCCGACGGCGTCCAGCTGCTCACGTGCGGCCACTTCGACCCGGCCTGCGCGCGCTGGACCGACCGGGCGCTGACCGAGCTCTACGACCTCCACTACGTGCCGCCGGACTTTGTGCCCTCGGTCGCGGCCGTGCGCAAGCACTACGAGGAGCCGTCGGTCATGAACGCGGCCCAGGCCGGCAACCAGGCCGAGGTCAAGCGGCTGCGCAAGGTGCCCGACAACACGGGCCTGCCGCAGGTGGGCGTCGTGTTGGACGGCTTCGTGACCCCGCGCGGCAGCATCTTCTCCCGCGACTTCTTCATCCCCTGCGCCATCGCCGTGGAGCACCTCCACAAGGACGGCGACAAGGCTGGGTTCCCCTCCACCTACGAGGTACCTCTCCGCCGCACATCACCACCGCCACATTCCATTCCTGACAAGCATTCCACATTGCGCGTGCGTTATTTTATTCCTTTTATTTTTATTTTATTATTATTATTATTATTTCTTATTTTATATTATTTTGATTTATTGTTTTTGTAGTATTTGGCGTGTAACAGGAAGAAAGTGCTCCCGAAGCTGGTGGAAGTGCGGGAGGTGGCGGTCATCTACCACCTCCACCACGACATGTTCTACCACATGGTGCAGGACCAGTACTACCGCCTCCTTGCCCTGCTGCCCTACCTCCGACAGCACCCCGACATCCACATCCTCATCTACGGCTGGAGCGACCCCAAAAACTGGGATGGCAGCTTCGGCGACCGCTTCTTCCAGTTCTGTGGCATCTCCAAGTACCCCACGTTCTTCCTCCTTCTCATCAACCTCGTGTGTCTCATCATCGCTGTGTGCCGTGTGTGCCGTGTGTGTCGTGCGTGTCGTGTGTGCCGTGTGCCGTGTGTGTCGTGTTGTGTGCCCGTGTGTCGTGTTTGTTGCGAAGGTCACGGGTCATTTTTTCAGGCGGTGAGGATTGGGACGTGAGCGTCAAGGCCGACGTGATCTACTACGTTCAGGATCTGTCGCGCCAAGAGCCGTCGGCCCTGGGGTTCGCCCAGCAGATCCGCAGCCAATTCTGGAACCTGCTGGCCCTGCCCGACCACCGCCCGTGGAGCGCGCTGCTGGAGCCGGCCAAGCGCGGCCCGGTCGAGGCCTTCTTCGGCGTTGGCGCCCCGGCCCAGGCCCAGGCCCTCGCAACCCCGCAGGCCCAGGCTGCCCCGACGCCCGCACCGGGCTACGTGGCAGACCACCCGCTCGAAGTCAATATGGTGGTCATGGTGCGGACAGACCACTGGCGAGGCCGCCTCGTCGTCAACCACGAGGAGATGAAGACCGCGCTGCTGGAGCTGGCCGTCACTTTCCCCGCCGAGCTGCTGAAAAGAACGAAGGCCGCCGCGAAAAAGAGCGAAGCCGACGATGATGAGCGAACGGAGGTAGAGCGGAGGGAGAGGTACATCAAGATCAACTACAGGGAGCACTGCCCCAAGACTCCGCTCCTCGAGACGTTGGCGCTGTACGCGCAGGCCGACTTCGTCATCGGACCCCACGGCGCCGGTACGTGGCTGTGATGAATGCGTCCCACAGTGATCGCTGCCCCAGAAGCTCACGGTTTTGTACCGCCCGCCGCCCACCACCACCCACCACCCACCACGATAACAGGTTTCGTGTTCCTGGCGGCGACGAGGCCCGGAGTCCACGTTGTTGAGGTACCACCGTCACAGCCCACCTTCACTTCAGACTTGACATGCCGCACGCACGCACGCACGCACGCACGCACGCACACACACACACACACACACACTAACCTCCTGCACACACGCACGCCTGCGCCGCCGCACACAGTTCGTGGGAGGCTACGAACAGAACATGATGACCACTGCGCGCCTGGGGTCGGCCTACCACGGTGTGGTTGCTAATTTTACGAAAGAAGGTCCGTACCCGATCCTCGTGCAAAATGTGCGTTTCAAAAGAAGTGAGACCCAGAGACAAACTGGTGTTTGGCTGCGCGCACACACGACACACACCATCATCAGGTCTTATGAAAGGGTCGGACGGCTTCGACTATGTCGTCGACGTTCCCCACCTAGTAGGACTCGTGACATCTGTTCTCGAATCACGATTCTTGGGCAATTCCCCTGCAAACGCGACCCCGGCAGTCAAGCCAGCTCCAACGCACCAGCGCTGAGGCCACTCATTTTCGTTTGTTTGTTTGTTGGAAACAAAATTCGTTTCTTTACGTTTCTTCTCTTTAATGGTTGAGAAAGTTGGAAGTCCGATATCTGATCAACCAATCATATTCTCCACGTTGGCTGCCCCGACAGCGATGTCGGCAAAGGTGGGAAGCCCGACAGCCCGACTGTTTTGTTCACATTTGTTGACTTCTGCGCCGCAGCCAGAAACCACCTTTCTCACCAACGGACGAGACATGGAACTGATGACCCCTGCGGGACCACGGCTGCCGCCTGAGATGTGGGCGCACATCTTCAGTTTCTTCAGCGCGCGCGACATAGGCCGA